CAGTAGCCTATTGGTAAAACATAACTCAATTGACTGAACATGGAATTGATTTCAGTATGATTGAAACAATTTAGGCACATATGCAGTCATCTGGCTTCCATTTGAAGCATATTTGTATTCTTCACTTGTTTTTAACAATTGCAAAGACTTTGGCAACTTTGTATTTGTAGATAACTTGGTTCTGCAGTTATCGGCGGTCACAGTCAGACAGATAAACTTCTTGATTCTATGTTTAGCAGAGATCTTCTGTGAATACAGTGACACGGAAGGGCAAAAAAGCATCTAACGACGCACTTGGCTGTTCTACTAGTGGTCTGAAGCAGTCAGTAAATAACGAGCATTTTCAAGTGCAACTTTAGTAACAATGGTTTTAACGATGCTCTTTGCGCTCACATTTAACGATGCTCCTACGAAGGTTCTAACGATGAACTTAGCTTTAAGATGCTTTTGGGAAACCGGGCCCTGGGCAATAGCACCAGAGCTAACTGCCCCAGACCATTTAACTACTCCTGAACAACAGCTTTTGTTACAGCTCTCTGGAAATAGGGTGGGTGACCACTAGACCATGTCACACTGGGCAACAGTTGGTTGAATCAACGTTGTTTCCACGTAATTTCAACAAAATTATTAAATGTGATGACGTTGAGTCAACATGGAAAACTGATGGGATTTGCAAAAAGTAAATGAATGAGACATAAATTAATTTCTGGATTTATTTGTTTTTTCACCCAGCCTTTACCTTAATGCAATGAGATGATTAAAATGTTTGTTTGGTTTTACTTTGAATTCACATTAGTTGATAACTCAATCAAATGGTTATCAAAACTTGACATTGAACTGACATCTGTGCCCAGTGGGGTGTGCCTCTCTGATATCCCTTCCTGAAATCTGATTATATAATCTTGAGCCAGGTGGACAAATGCACAGAGCCATGTTACTGGCAAGTTACTGTCTGATAACAGCAGATGTGTAACAACACAAACATGCCCAAGACTGGGGTATTAAATGCCCCAGATGGATAGCTACCCCCAGAGGAAATTATCAGGGTATACAAAATTGAATAAAATATAATTTATTCAAATCCAGCTGATCAGGGTTCTATTAAACAGCCTGTCTGTCTAATACCTGGTAGTGTTCAGACAGTGAATTCCATCAGTTTTGGTGTACAGGTCTATATAAATTAACAGCTATTGCTGCACAATTTACTATAGGGCCCAATTCAGTCAAGCAAAGCAGAGATAAAGGCAAACCGCACAGCAAGTTCACTCACAATGTTTACTTTACGCTGAGTTGTCAATTTGGGTTAAAAGCTCCACTCCTCAGTCCCTGCAAGCTATTCCTCTCACAGACATTGTCATTCGATATTGACGCAAAAACATCGTATGAAGTGCTTCAAATAAAGGGCACACCATCAGAGTGAATCTTTTCCTTTATCTAGGCCAAGCTGCACTCCAGCTATTTTTTAAAAACTTTTCCTGTTGAAAAACAATATCCCATGTATAAATATGGTAATGTTCACACACTTAAGTGTAAAAAAAAATATGTTTTGAGAAAAATAGTTTTTTTTTTTTGACAACTGCAAACTTCAAGTAGTTGTCCATTCAATGAGTTGGTCTGATGGATGCACTGTGATGTCATCGGAGAGTGCAACTTTAATGGAATTGGGTGCCTTAGTTTGGTCACCAGCCTGATCAGTTCTGGGTACTGACTGACTGTACAGCCCGTCTGTAAAAGCACTGCTCATTATCTAACCCAGTTCCCACACATGCACACACGCTCGAACACACACACACACACACACACACACACACACACACACACACACACACACACACACACACACACACACACACAAACACACACACACACTGATTGAGATAAACCACCGGGGGTCTAAGCCACAGACAGCCTGCATGGTAAAGCTGGGCATTATGGACAAAAATATGTATTCTGATAATTTGACTGAATTATCACGATTACGATAAATAGAACGATACGTTACTAACATTCATTTGCACCTGTTAGCCTACTTTTATACATTACCTTACCCTTAAAACTACTACTACTACTTTGAATGTTGTAACTATCAATTATACCGTTAGCAATAGCCCAAATTAGCAGACTTATTTCCTTTCAAACTTCAGATTTCTCTAGTAGGATACTTATTGGGATTATCGATATCAGTAAAATGGCCTGGATAAATGGTCGGTACGGTCGGCGTCGATCATTTTCCTTTTATCTTCCCAGCTCTACTGCATGGTCAGCCTGGTCAGCATGGACAGGACAGGACAATACAAAGCTGACCGATCACAACTACACTGTCAAATGACTGTGTTTATCCTCTGATACTGCATGTAGGCCACTGCTAGTGTCAAGGTTTGAAATTAAATAAAATACGTTTTGTTTTGTTTTGTATTGGGGAGATATACCACCAACCCCACCCATTACCAATGTGTAGCAGCCACCAGCATGCCAGCATTTTGGTGCCAGAAAGTAGTGGTAGGGGGAAAACATTTATACAGTTACATCTCAGGATATTATTTTCGACGATATATCGTGTCCTTTTGACAATATTGCAATATTATATTTGCGTTAGTTGGCTGTATCTGCACCAAATCTTCTTTATAAATAGGGAGCCAATTTGTTTTCAACACTTATTTCCCTGACTGATCCAAACTCATTTTCTCATGGCTCTCTCTTGTCCCTCTGCAGCAGACATATGGTGACCAATATGTTTGGAACATCGAATCGCAATAAAATCACAGTATCGAATCGCAATACATATATGATCGTGAGAATTGCAATACACATCGTATCGCCACCTAAGTATTGTGATAATATTGTATCGTGAAGTCCCTGGCAATTCCCAACCCTACCAGAAGGCTCACCAGACATTGGCTATGATGATCTGTTTAGTGATCAAAAGGTGAACTTTTTAAAGTATAGTATCATATGTGGACATAGAACATTTCGGTTGGCCACTGTCAGTATAGCTTGCCTATATGGCCTTGTGCTGGTTTGAAACCTACCCTGGCAACTCTGAAAAAATTTGCAAGGACATGTAGCTGTATCTTTTAACCACATTGTCATTTTCTCTTGTCTCTACAGCACAGAAGACGACTATGTTACAGAGGTCCCATACCCAGCTGTGAGAATCAGAGCGGGTAAGTAACAAATCATGTCTCACATGATTATGAGCCTGATGCAATCAAACCTGTCTTAGCCATGTTTATGCAGTATTGGTTTAAAAACTACTGCCCATACATACAGCTTGAAGCATCAATGTCAGTGTAGGTAGGCAGTGTATTTGTAAGCAAATACACTGCTCAAACAAATAAAGGGAACACTAAAATAACACATCCTAGATCTGAATGAATGAAATAATCTTATTAAATACTTTTTTCTTTACATAGTTGAATGTGCTGACAACAAAATCACACAAAAAGTATCAATGGAAAACAAATGTATCAACCCATGGAGGTCTGGATTTGGAGTCACCCTCAAAATTAAAGTGGAAAACCACACTACAGGCTGATCCAACTTTGATGTAATGTCCTTCAAACAAGTCAAAATGAGGCTCAGTAGTGTGTGTGGCCTCCACGTGCCTGTATGACCTCCCTACAACGCCTGGGCATGCTCCTGATGAGGTGGCGGATGGTCTCCTGAGGGATCTCCTCCCAGACCGGGACTAAAGCATCCGCCAACTCCTGGACAGTTTGTGGTGCAACGTGGCGTTGGTGGATGGAGCGAGACATGATGTCCCAGATGTGCTCAATTGGATTCAGGTCTGGGGAACGGGTGGGCCAGTCCATAGCATCAATGCCTTCCTCTTGCAGGAACTGCTGACACACTCCAGAGCTAACTGTCACGTGCTCAGTGTGAACCTGCTTTCATCTGTGAAGAGCACAGGGCGCCAGTGGCGAATTTGCCAATCTTGGTGTTCTCTGGCAAATGCCAAACGTCCTGCACGGTGTTGGGCTGTAAGCACAACCCCCACCTGTGGACGTCGGGCCCTCATACCACCCTCATGGAGTCTGTTTCTGACCGTTTGAGCAGACACATGCACATTTGTGGCCTGCTGGAGGTCATTTTGCAGGGCTCTAGCAGTGCTCCTCCTGCTCCTCCTTGCACAAAGGTGGAGGTAGCAGTCCTGCTGCTGGGTTGTTGCCCTCCAAGGCCTCCTCCACGTCTCCTGATGTACTGGCCTGTCTCTTGGTAGCGCCTCCATGCTCTGGACACTACACTGACAGACACAGGTAACCTTCTTGCCACAGCTCGCATTGATGTGCCATCCTGGATGAGCTGCACTACCTGAGCCACTTGTGTGGGTTGTAGACTCCGAATCATGCTACCACTAGAGTGAAAGCACCGCCAGCATTCAAAAGTGACCAAAACATCAGCCAGGAAGCATAGGAACTGAGAAGTGGTATGTGGTCACCACCTGCAAAACCAGTCCTTTATTGGGGGGTGTCTTGCTAATTGCCTATAATTTCCACCTGTTGTCTATTGCATTTGCACAACAGCATGTGAAATTTATTGTCAATCAGTGTTGCTTCCTAAGTGGACAGTTTGATTTCACAGAAGTGTAATTGACTTGGAGTTACATTGTGTTGTTTAAGTGTTCTCTTTATTTTTTTGAGCAGTGTATATTTTTGCCAAATAGTATCTGACAGTTTAATTTGTGTGTCTGTTTGTCAGGTGGGATTGATGGAATGAGCTTGGTGGCTGAGGGTTATGTGCCTACAGAGGAAAGCCCACTCAAAAGATTACTGAAGGTAGAGGTCTCTCTCTCTCGCTCTCTTTCTATCCCCTCTCTCTCTGATCCTGTGCATCGTAGTATCACATCGCCCCCTAGGGGACACTATTCAGATGCTCTACAGTTTGTTTTACTAGTCTTACTATTACTACCATGATAACTAAGTGTGTGGCGTTTCTTGCCAATCAATTATATTCATTGATCCAATATCCCTTCCACCCCCCACCCCTCCTCCTCTCTGCAGCTGGATGGCTGGCACCACCTCAACCAGCATGGCCATGGCAAGGGCAAGAGAAAGCTGCTCCAGTCCCCCATCTTCGGGCCATACTCCCCCCTGAGCGTGGCCTACAATGGCAAGACCTGCATCCTGTTCAAAGCCAAGCGCTTGGCCGTCCGCTACAAGAACCACACCTTCATAGACCTGACGGAGAAGACCTTCGGACCCAACGCCCCTGTGGACACCAAGGGATCCATCTGCACCAAGGAGAAGGCTACGTAAGTACTGTAAATCATGTCCAACCGTGAGTTGTATCGACTGCTATGTAGCTATCAAATAACTTGAAAAAGTTTAAATTATACATTCAATTCATGGAGGAAAATATTGTTACAATGAGATGAGTACTGTATATCTCACACAGGAGATACCTTCTAAAGGCCCGGTCCTTTTCAATCAACATAATGAGTTTGTTTTTGTACACAGGCTCTCACTGAAGTTTGGCGATGTGGAGGACCTCAGGGGACTTGTTATCAGGCTGCAGATGTCCAACACGTTCTACGAGTCGGCAGGGCAGAACTGGTTCACCTTAGACAGCGTACACATCCACTACAACTGGACCCATGAGGCTACATTCAACGCCAGCGAGGTGTATGCCCCTGCCACCTCCTCCTATCACTGCCAGCATGTCAGCAGTCAGCACAAATATGACACCCTCCTGGTACCCAGCTCACACACCGACACCTCAGCTAACTGGCACATCACGTTCACTGACTTCCAGGTATGGGGCTTTGGCCATTTTTATTGACTGATTGATTTATCTATACAAAAACCTGTTCACTTCACCTTGTAATATTTCCAATTTCCTCTCCTCCTCTCTGCAGATCCAGGCGTTCAACGTCATGTCTGATAAGTTTGCGTCGGCCAGCGACTGTGCCACCTTCCTGACCCCAGCCATACTGATGGGGCTGGTGACCTCTCTGATCCTGCTGTTGGTGTTGGCCTACGCTCTGCACATGGTGGTGCACCTCAAACACATCGACCGCTACGAGGAACATAAAGCTATGGTGTACTTCCCACGTAGGCTGAGCAAAGCTCTAGAGCGCAGGGCCTCACAGCAGTACGAGCTACCCGACAAGAACTGCCTGTGAGAGAGGGAGGAAGAGAGAGGGAGGAAGAGAGAGAGAGAAGATAGAGAGACGTGGATGCTGGTGAATGAAAGTGGGAAAAAGTTACACCCACACTGTTTTCCATGCTTCCGAATGTTTGTTTACTAGTGACAACTAGTTTGACCTGTTGGCTTTTGCCTGTTCTCTATTATAAGACCAACATGTTAACATGTTATCACTACTAAGCTATCACATTTTCTGGAGCATTAAAACTGTGTTTGTCTACCATTCTTCCTTTTTTTCCATTGACCTGAACCTTCACATTCATTTCCTAACTAAGGTAATTGGATGTTAGACCCTCTTGATCGTGGGGTTAGAGGTCAGGAAGAGACCAGGGGCCCTGGAGGGACACAGTGTCACCAAGCTTTCACCTCAGCCAGGCACTGAAGCACCCGATTCAACAGATAATGACTGCAGCTAACCCTGCCATCGTCCAAGCCTGCTTAGGGGCCCTCACCCCTTAGCATAACTGGGCTTTGGTGTGTGGAGTCCCCGCTCCCCATCCTAGCATTGACACATTGCCAAATTCACTATCTCATCTTCAATACCAACACAAGGAATCCTTTGTCGAATCTCATGGCATATTCAGTGAATTAGCTGCACGCTGTCATAAGGTGGTCTAGCACAGTGTTTCTAAGGACCCACTGGTAGATCACAGACAAATCTTACTGGGTTAAGATTGTACTTGAGCTGGAAACTTGTTTGAGATAATTTGGAGGGTATCTCAAGAATTCTAGAGGGTTTTGGTGGTTCATGGCACAAAACTATTTGGGAACCACTGGTTTGGCACCTGGCTGGAGTGAACTAGATCGGTCACTGTGGCTCTCCTGAACCTCTGGGGATTCCCACCCTGCCCCTGGCGTAGACTTTTGGGACTTACTGTGAAATGGCCTTGAATGGACCAGCCACCAGTCTGAGGGGTTCCACTAACTAGCACAACATGGGTTAGCCTGGCAGGCGCTAATGGCTAACTCTCAACACTAAAGACTAAACATGGAAATAAGCTGCACAAGACTGCCCTTCTGAGGGCAACGAATGACGCGGGTCTATAGGAAGACGTCACTCACTGAAAGTCTATGGAGTAAGGACAAGGGAGGTGAAGGAGCTGCCAGCCACGCTGCAGGGTTTTTGACTGCCAAAGTGAAGATAAAGGATTTTCCATTACGCATGACAATGTGAACATGAGAAGTACAGTTACAATGTAAAAAACTAACGAAAAACACTCAAATGTACAGATGTATCTCTCAGCTGAAGTCTTTTTTATGTACAGTGTAATCAAGAAATACTACTAGGTACAGGAAGGCTATTCTACTACTGCTCATAATCACAAGGATATACAGTGCTGTAGATATGTTAAGGTCATATGATCATAGCTGTTTACTATCTTCAAATAGCGCACAATTACATAGGTATCAGTTAAACATTGTGCTATAAGGATTGGTGACAGTATCAATGCATATTCATTTTTTTCTACAGTATTACCATATAACACTGTCCATCATATATTTGTCTTGAACTGGGCCAGACATGACACTCTAGAAGTACAGTCCAGTTTAAAGGTAGATTCAGCAGTATGACATCATCGTCCACAGTGGGGCGACTTCCTGCTTCACAGACACAACAACATATTCAAATCTGCCAATATTTCCCTTTCTGGGGAAGAGCCAATAGGGGCAGTCTTGGCAGATTACAATTTTGTTGTTGTTGATTTCTGTAAGCGGGATATCACCCCGCTGTGTATGATGATGTCATATTGCTGAGTCTACCTTTGATCCAACTGTTTTTTTCCAGTACAAATGTAAACATAGGGACGATACTTATGGAATGCCGTCCGTCCGCAGGTACATATAGAGGCCATTATACTCCAGAGACAACACTAGCAACCAGTAACAACATCAGTAACTCACTATTACAGAATAACACTCAGCATGACAGTAAGTAGATCTTACATTCGATATGGCAGTTCTGTCAGTCTGTAGCAGTGCGACGTGTACTTTGGTCACAAATGTATCCTAAAACTATGAAACCAGTGGAGGATGTTTCTCCATGGAACAATTTATGTAGTTTGATCAATAAACAATAATCAAATTAAATTGCAAAGAGTTGTGTTGTTATGTCTGTTGGGTTGTTTTGCCTTTGCCATGGTAACATAATTAATAATAATAATAATAATAATAATAATAATACGCCATTTAGCAGACGCTTTTATCCAAAGCGACTTACAGCCATGCGTGCATAAATTATTTTTTTGTGTATGGGTGGCGTTACAAGCGCCGTGCTCTACCAGCTGAGCTACAGAGGACCACGCTACAGGAATTGCGCTGAGACTCACATTTTTCACTTTAAAATGTATGCCAAACAAAAACCATTGATTTCAAAGTTTAACAAACCATAAACTCTATGCATAAGGACTACTTTTAACAATTGACACTGAAAATATTTTTTAAAACATATTTACTGGAAGAACTGTGCAGATGCAAAGTTCGGTAACAGAATTTCGGTAAAATCTCCCTCCGTTTTTTATGTGACCATGTTTTCCAAAAACTCTGTTAAATATCTGCTCTGAATTAAGATTAAAAGATGTCTGCTATGACATGAACTACAGTAAGTGAAGTGGATTTACACACGGTAACAGAATTACGGTAACGGAATTTCATCATGGGTCCCTGATCTGTCCTACACAGAAATGCATCATGATGATATGAAAGTCATGCTCTTCATGGCGATGTATCCTGTATAGGTACACAAAGGTAGACATATCCTCCTTTGCATATTTGGGTATTATTCTATACACTGGCAATTATTTTTGTGAACTCTGCCCCCAAACAAGACCAGATTTGGTTGGTCCAGACCAGACCAAATCTGAACCAATCATAGACGTCTATGTTTCACACATTTGGACATCAAAGTACAGCACAGTTGAGTTGAGTTCAGTACAGCACAGAACAGTAGAGTTCAGTTCAGTACAGTACATTACAGGGTACTCAACTCTAATGTACTGTACTCTACTGTACTGTACAGTGCAGGACTGTACTGAACTATACTTACCTTTTAAAAACTTTTCTCTACTGTACTCTACTGTGCTCTACTATGCTCTACTGTACTGTGCTCTTCAAACTTGTGAAACATAGACGTCTATGATTGGTTCAGATTTGGTCGGGTCCGGACTGAACCAAATCTGAACAAATCATGGATGTCTATGTTTGGTCCAGATCAAGGCCGGTATGGACCAGCTAAAAAATTAACATCTGTGGATGTTGAAATTAAAGCCGTTCCGGACTGACCAAATTTAAACTACTTTTCAACGTCCATGGATGTCTGGTGTCAGTCGGTGCTCAGTGGGTAAGGATGCTGGTTACAGTAAATGGAAAGAGAGGGGAGAGGTGACATTAACTGGAGAGAGAGAGTGAGAGAGGCAGAGAGAGAGAGAGAGAGACAGAGAGAGAGCGAGAGAGAGAGAGAGAGAGAGAGAGAGAGAGAGAGAGGCAGAGAGAGAGAGAGAGAGAGAGAGAGAGAGAGAGAGAGAGAGAGAGAGAGAGAGAGAGAGAGAGGCAGAGAGAGATAGATAGATACAGTGAGGGAAAAAAGTATTTGATCCCCTGCTGATTTTGTACGTTTGCCCACTGACAAAGAAATGATCAGTCTATAATTTTAATGGTAGGTTTATTTGAACAGTGAGAGACAAAATAACAACAAAAAAATCTTTGACTCTGTCAATCACCGCATTCTTATTGGCAGACTAAATAGCCTTGGTTTCTCAAATGACTGCCTCGCCTGGTTCACCAACTACTTCTCAGATAGAGTTCAAAGTGTCAAACCAGAGGGCCTGTTGTCTGGACCTATGGCAGTCTCTATGGGGGTGCCACAGGGTTCAATTCTCGGGCCGACTCTATTCTCTGTGTATATCAATGATGTCGCTCTTACTGCTGGTGACTCTCAGATCCACCTGGCCCTTCATTGGACAATGTGTTAACAAACCTCCAAACGAGCTTCAATGCCATACAACACTCCTTCCGTGGCCTCCAACTGCTCTTAAACGCCAGTAAAACTAAATGCATGCTCTTCAATCGAACGCTGCTTGCACCCGCCTGCCCGACTAGAATCACTACTCTCGGCGGCTCTGACTTAGAATATGTGGACAACTACAAATACCTAGGTGTCTGGTTAGACTGTAAACTCTCCTTCCAGACTCACATTAAGCGTCTCCAATCCAAAGTTAAATCTAGAATCGGCTTCCTATTTCACAACAAAGCCTCCTTCACTCATGCTGCTAAACATGCCCTCGTAAAACTGACTATCCTACTGATCCTTGACTTCGGCGATGTCATTTACAAAATAGCTTCCAACACTCTACTCAGCAAATTGGATGTAGTCTATCACAGTGCCATCCGTTTTGTCACCAAAGCCCCATATTCTACCCACCATTGTGACCTGTACGCTCTCGTTGACTGGCCCTCACTACATATACGTCGCCAAACCCACTGGCTCCAGGTCATCTATACAGTGAGGGAAAAAAGTAATTGATCCCCTGCTGATTTTGTACGTTTGCCCACTGACAGACATTTTCAGTCTATAATTTTAATAGTAGGTTTATTTGAACAGTGAGAGAGAGAATAACAACAAAAAAATCCAGAAAAACACATGTCAAAAATGTTATAAATTGATTTGCATTTTAATGAGGGAAATAAGTATTTGACCCCCTCTCAATCAGAAAGATTTCTGGCTCCCAGGTGTCTTTTATACAGGTAACGAGCTGAGATTAGGAGCACACTCTTAAAGGGAGTGCTCCTAATCTCAGTTTGTTACCTGTATAAAAGACACCTGTCCACAGAAGCAATCAATCAATCAGATTCCAAACTCTCCACCATGGCCAAGACCAAAGAGCTCTCCAAGGATGTCAGGGACAAGATTGTAGACCTACACAAGGCTGGAATGGGCTACAAGACCATCGCCAAGCAGCTTGGTGAGAAGGTGACAACAGTTGGTGCGATTATTCGCAAATGGAAGAAACACAAAAGAACTGTCAATCTCCCTCGGCCTGGGGCTCCATGCAAGATCTCACCTCGTGGAGTTGCAATGATCATGAGAACGGTGAGGAATCAGCCCAGAACTACACGGGAGGATCTTGTCAATGATCTCAAGGCAGCTGGGACCGTAGTCACCAAGAAAACAATTGGTAACACACTACGCCGTGAAGGACTGAAATCCTGCAGTGCCCGCAAGGTCCCCCTGCTCAAGAAAGCACATATACATGCCCGTCTGAAGTTTGCCAATGAACATCTGAATGATTCAGAGGAGAACTGGGTGAAAGTGTTGTGGTCAGATGAGACCAAAATGGAGCTCTTTGGCATCAACTCAACTCGCCGTGTTTGGAGGAGGAGGAATGCTGCCTATGACCCCAAGAACACCACCCCCACCGTCAAACATGGAGGTGGAAACATTATGCATTGGGGGTGTTTTTCTGCTAAGGGGACAGGACAACTTCACCGCATCAAAGGGACGATGGACGGGGCCATGTACCGTCAAATCTTGTGTGAGAACCTCCTTCCCTCAGCCAGGGCATTGAAAATGGGTCGTGGATGGGTATTACAGCATGACAATGACCCAAAACACACGGCCAAGGCAACAAAGGAGTGGCTCAAGAAGAAGCACATTAAGGTCCTGGAGTGGCCTAGCCAGTCTCCAGACATTAATCCCATAGATAATCTGTGGAGGGAGCTGAAGGTTCGAGTGGCCAAACATCAGCCTCGAAACCTTAATGACTTGGAGAAGATCTGCAAAGAGGAGTGGGACAAAATCCCTCCTGAGATGTGTGCAAACCTGGTGGCCAACTACAAGAAACGTCTGACCTCTGTGATTGTCAACAAGGGTTTTGCCACCAAGTACTAAGTCATGTTTTGCAGAGGGGTCAAATACTTATTTCCCTCATTAAAATGCTAATCAATTCATAAAATTTTTGACATGCGTTTTTCTGGATTTTGTTGTTGTTATTCTGTCTCTCACTGTTCAAATAAACCTACCATTAAAATTATAGACTGATCATTTTTTTGTCAGTGGGCAAACGTACAAAATCAGCTGGGGATCAAATACTTTTTTCCCTCACTGTAGATAGATAGATAGATAGATAGATGGAGGGGTTGTCCAGACTGTTTTCACACTTCATTTGACCACCAAACGACAGAAAGAGAAAGAAAACAGTTAGCTGAACATAACAGAATGCCGGTGGACTGTAGAAGCTAGCAGGTGACCCAATTATTTTACGAATTTGGTAACAGAATTTCGAGTTTTAATCGCTTAATAATTCATAAACCAAATAGATATCAGTAAAAACACACTATAACTCATTGTTACGTCTCTGAACTTTCATTATCCTCCCTCCTCATGAGGGAGAAAAATGTGAAAATATCTTAAAGATATGCAGGATTTTGGTAACAGAATTTTAAGGCACAGTCCAATGTTTCTTAAACTTACACAAGGCAAATAATTTCTCCAAAACTAAATATAAGTGTTGATATTAGTTGGCAGGGGTCTTTACTTCAACATGATTGTGTTTTCATGTATTTCTAATACCTTTTAAGACTTTTTCTGGTAGATGTTTTCAAAGACCCCTTTTCCATCTGACCAGAAATTAAAGCACTTGCTAATTCCTAATATTTAAGCTAGAACGTTTTGAAAATGTATATATGCCTTCATTTCTTAAAAATATAGACTCTTAGCTTTCATTTGACACCAGATTTGACATGCTCCTATGAACTTCACGTTGGTGCTCATGGGTCCTTTTCCATGGAAATGACCCTTGTTGCTTCATTGTCCCTTTCCATCCAAGTAATCTACAGGAGGATTCACGTTGCATTTTCTAATAATTCATTCATCAAAATATTGTAATTCACTCTTCACATCAAGGGGCTTACTCCTGTCTATTCAAATGTGTTTCTGAAATCAAAAATATTTTTGCATTTAATTTCATCATCTGGCCTGCCTTGTATAAAAATGTATAACCCTCCTCAGTCCAAAGCCTTCAACTCCTCAACCCCATACCTCAATGCACTGCCAGATCTGTCACTCCTCTCTGAGTGTCCCCTCCGGCGCGCCATCTGCTCTCTCCTCTCACCTGACAGGTCGTCGCCTCTCGCAGGGACAGTTTACTTGTCGGCAGCTGACCAATGGCAGGCCTCCCAATTCAAATGTTCAGAGGAGAAGTATGAGAAAACCATTAAGTGATGGCTTCCTTGAACACCCATAGTTTGACATAATTGACTGTGGTGAGAGACCTGGTAGCCTAAAATATACTTCTCTCTCTCTCTCTCTCTCTCTCTCTCTCCATGTGTGTGTCTGTGTTTGTTTGCATCTGTGTTTGAGTGTGTGTGTGTGTTATCGGATAATAAGAAAAGCTGTGTGGCATTATCATTACAAAGATGCAGGTTTTATGGATGGCATAAGCTAAATAAATTGTTAATCAAGAGATGATGCACTGGGAAGATCTCAATTACATACTCCTCTCGTCCTCTCTCCTCGTCTCCTTCTCAAAACCCATTGGAGGAGAAGGTCAGAGGGGCGGGGCCTCTTGCTTTCTCATCCAATTGGTTTGGAGAAGAAGACGAGGAGAGAGGACTCGAGGAGTATGCAATTGCGATCTTCCCTCTGACTAAGAATATACATTACAAAAATAAAACAATGGACACTGTACCAGAGACGGGAGAGGAAGCAAGACACCCCACTCCCTCATTTTTTCTCGTTACATTACAGTCAATAAACCACATAGACCAGACCCTGCTGCTCTCGCACTGGTGTCTATGGGAGAGCCACCCCCTTCAGCATACCATTTTTTTCAATGGTAAACGCCCTGAGAGAACTACAGTATCTTAATGTATCCACCATCTTTGACCAAACAGTAGATGGCGACAAAAGGTTGAGAACAGGGACACAAGAAAGAAAACGTCTAATCACGAGAAACAGTAACATCTCGCGATACTACTGGGTTTGATTGAAACATGGCTTCCTCCATGAAGAAGGCTGCCCACGATATTGAAACGCGAAAACGGACTGATGATGTTGTCTTGTCGGACGGTATCGACTTCAACGCCCTGCTGTTGTCGCAGCCCGTGCTAGATGGACTGGCGGCTTCTGGATTCAAGAAACCGTCTCCAATCCAGCTCAAAGCCATTCCGTTGGGGCGATGCGGACTCGGTATGATCTGGTCGTCAGCGTCTACTACAGTAGTTACATTTTAGCTAGCTAGCTAGCCAGTAGGCAACAATTTTATGTTGTAACCTGCTAACTTCCTGTATTCTAGTCTCTTTACAAGTTAGAATTTCGAATAGAATCTCGTTAGAATTTATGCTGCGTTCATAACCAAGTGGGATGGTGGAAATTACTCGTTGTGAAGTCGTAAATACCAGTTGGATGCATTCACGTGCTTTGAACTCGTTGTGAAACGCTGATTGGCTAATGGCCAACAAGCTGTGTCAACCATTAACTAAAATTACAGCTATCATGCTAAAAAGTTAATAGATAGTTTTTATAAATAATGTTTTGATACATTTAATAACCAAAAATTGTGGATAAATAAAGATGGTTCACTTAGGCCTTTTATCATTGTCTCCCATAGACACCAATGCATTAACAGCTGGGTCTGATCTACCTAGTACATTGACTTTAATTGAACCAGAAAAAAACACCAAGTGGGGTGTCTCGCATCCTCTTCAGTCTGATTTAACAGCCTGAGCTGCTATTAGGTGATGTCAGCATGTGGGAGAAGTCTGATCTCAGGGATCATGGATGAGTTTCCCACTAGTAGGAGTTGGAGGAGCATTCAAGTGGATTTATCCCAGTGGTATGTGGTAAATACCACCTTCCCACTTGGTTATGAACGCAGCATAACTCTGGCAGTTGTCCATTTGGTTGGTCTTTCAGTCATCTAGAAGTGGACAAAATATCCACAGTAAAGTATCATTTAAATCGAATTTGTCAAAATAGTTGTCAAATAAATGTAATGTGCATGGCTCTCAGGTGTGTTTGTCACCTGACACATGCGCAAGTGTTTTCATCGTTTACAAAATATTTACAGATAGCTATTTAGGACAGGAAGCTGGCAACCTACATGCCTCATGTCTGTGTGCTGTATTCTAGATCTGATAGTGCAGGCCAAGTCTGGCACAGGGAAGACCTGTGTGTTCTCTACCATCGCCCTGGACTCTCTGGTGATTGAGAACACTACCACACAGGTGACTCAACTCACTCAATTTATTGTAAAGGAGACATTCACTCATTTCACATGTCATGGTTGAATGTCATCTATGACATCTGTTTGCTTGAATCCATATTTGGACAGATTACAGGCAAATCTTTGACATAGCATGGACATTTTGCATTGACCAATATTTCCCTTCCTGTGACAGGTGCTGGTGCTAGCCCCGACCCGTGAGATAGCGGTGCAGATCCACTCTGTGGTGATGGCTATAGGCAGTGCCATGGAGGGCCTGCAGTGTCATGTCTTCATTGGGGGGACGCCCGTCAGCCAGGACAAGATCAGTCTCAAGAAGTGCCACATCGCTGTGGGATCACCAGGTCACTGAACCTATACAGTTTGTTTGTCTTATAAGTAAATAACCATGGCAACAGTATCATATGTATCAAACAGTACCAGTATGAAAAATGTATGTTTCCAAGATGGCATAGCAGTGCAGTCGTGTTTTATGTAGTGTCCTTATGTAAATAGCCTGTTTTTTGTTTTTTTGTCTTTTTCGTATATTTCTCAATCTCACTTTCCATCCTTTAACTAAATATACTTTCCTGCAATCCGCCTCACCCAATGTGGAACGGATTCTGTTGTTTCTTCATACATTTTTATCCAGAACCTCTGGCTGAAACTAGCCAGCTACTTGCTATTAGCCACCGTTAGCGGTCTTCACCATTGTCCGTGGCCGTGGCCTGCACTACCTACCAGCCAGCTCTAGCCTGGACAATTATCGGCCAGTCTGCACAGTCTGCACATCGCGCTATCGAGCCAGAGCATATCGGATTTTCTGCCGGAACCACTGAATCACTGGACCTTAACACCGGATCATCGCTAGCCAGCTAACTAGCTACTTGCTATTAGCCACCGTTAGCGGTATTCACCATTGTCCGTGGCCGTGGCCTGCACTACCTACCAGCCAGCCAGCTCTAGCCTGGACTATTATTCGGCCAGTCTGCACAGCGCGTTATCGACCCTAAACATATCGGTTTTTCTGCCGGAATCACTGAACCTTTAACACCGGATTTCATCGCTACTAGCTAGCTGCAACTAAATTGACGTTTGTGGTTGTCTAATCAGCCCTGAGTTAGCCTTGAGCCAGGCCCATCTCCCGGCTATCTACCTCTCTGTCAACCGGACGGGAACTCCTAGTGTTGACACGGAGCCCCGCCGATCCAACACGACTTGTCTGCCGACGAAATCGTCTGATGTGGTTACAACAGGCTTCCCGTTACAACGTCGACCACGAAGATCCATCTGCTAGCCCCGGCCCGCTAGCACACGCTAGCCGTGGCCTCTTGCTAGTGCTATAGCAGCCCCCGAACTACCTCCGAACTATCCTATTGCTGTTCACCGGACCTTATGATAACTCAGCTATACAGCTGATACCTGCTGGACTGTTCCTTTATACGGTACCGCATCCTGTTTATGTTTAGCCTCAGCCCAAACTTTGTCGCCATTACCAGCTGTTGTCTTAGCTCTCTCGAATTACACCTGTGATTACTTTATGCCTCTCTCCCATGTCAACATGCCTTGCTTATTGCTGTTTCGGTTATTTCTTATTGTACTATTTCACTGTAGATCCCCCAGCCCAGCTAAACCTGCCTTAGATAGCTCCTTTGGCCCACCCCCCCATACACACGGAGACCGACTCAATCGGTGCCTCCAGTGATGCTATCTCTTTCATCGTTACCCAACGCTTAGGTTTACCTCCACTGTACTCATATCCTTACATATCCTTTTCTGTACATAATGCCCTGAATCTATTCTACAACGCCCGGAAACCTGCCCCTTTTTTTCTCTGTACCCAACGCACTAGAAGACCAGTACTTAAAGCCTTTAGCCATATCCTTTTTCTACTCCTCCTCTGTTCCTCTGGTGATGTAGAGGTTAACCCAGGCCCTGTAGCCCCCAGTATCACTCCTACTCCCCAGGCGTTATCATTTGTTGACTTCTGTAATCGTAAAAGCCTTGGTTTCTTGCACGTTAACATCCGAAGCCTCCTCCCTAAGTTTGAGTTATTGACTGCGTTAGCACACTCCGCCAACCCTGATGTTCTAGCAGTGTCTGAATCTTGGCTTAGGAAGGCCACCAAATATTCAGAAATGTCCATCCCCAACTACAACATTTTCCGTCTCGATAGAACTGCCAAAGGGGGTGGGGTTGCAATCTACTGTAGAGAGAGCCTGCAGAGCTCTATCATACTATCCAGGTCTGTGCCCAAACAGTTTGAGCTTCTACTTCTAAAAATCCACCTTTCCAGAAATAAGTCTCTCACTGTTGCCGCTTGCTACAGACCCCCCTCAGCCCGAGCTGTGCCCTGGACACCATATGTGAACTGATTGCCCCCCATCTATCCTCAGAGTTCGTACTGCTTGGTGACCTAAACTGGGATATGCTTAATACCCCGGCCAACCTACAATCTAAACTAGATGCCCTCAATCTCACACAAATTATCAACGAACCTACCAGGTACAACCCTAAATCTGTAAACATGGGCACCCTCATAGATATCATCCTGACAAATTTACCCTCTAAATACACCTCCGCTGTCTTCAAACAGGATCTTGACGATCACTGCCTTATTGCCTGCGTCCGTAATGGGTCCGCGATCAAACGACCACCCCTCATCACTGTCAAACGCTCCCTAAAACACTTTAGCGAGCAGGCCTTTCTAATTGACCTGGCCTGGGTATTCTGGATGGATATTGATCTCATTCCGTCAGTAGAGGATGCCTGGTTGTTCTTTAAAAGTGCTTTCCTCTCTATCTTAAATAAGCATGCCCCATTCAAAAAATTCAGAAATAAGAACAGATATAGCCCCTGGTTCTCCTCAGACTTGACTGCCCTTGACCAGCACAAAAACATCCTGTGGCGTACTGCATTACCATCGAACAGTCCCCGCGATATGCAACTTTTCAGGGAAGTCAGGAACCAATATACACAATCAGTTAGGAAAGCAAAGGCTAGCTTTTTCAAACAGAAATGTGCATCCTGTAGCACTAACTCCAAAAAGTTTTGGGACACTGTAAAGTCCATGGAAAATAAGAGCACCTCCTCCCAACTGCCCACTGCACTGAGGCTCGGAAACACTGTCACCACCGATAAATCTACGATAATCGAGAATTTCAACAAGCATTTTGCTACGGCTGGCCATGCTTTCCACCTGGGTACCACTACCCCGGCCACCAGCTCTGCACCCTCCGCTGCAACTTGCCCATACCCCCCCCCCCCTCCGCTTCTTCTTCCCCCAAATTCAGATAGCTGATGTTGCGAAAGAGCAGCAAAATATGGACCCCTACAAATCAGCTGGGCTAGACAATCTGGACCCTTTCTTTCTAAAATTAGCCGCCGAAATTGTCGCAACCCCTATTACTAGCCTGTTCAACCTCTCTTTCGTAGCGTCTGAGATCCCCAGAGATTGGAAAGCTGCCGCGGTCATCCCCCTCTTCAAAGGGGGTGACACTCTAGATCCAAACTGTTATAGACCTATATCCATCCTGCCCTTCGAAAGTATTTGAATGCCAAGTTAACAAACAGATCACCGACCATTTCGAATCCCACCGTACCTTCTCCGCTATGCAATCCGGTTTCCGAGCTGGTCATGGGTGCACCTCAGCCACGCTCAAGGTCCTAAACGATATTATAAACGCGCTCGATAAAAGACAGTACTGCGCAGCCGTCTTCATCGACCTGGCCAAGGCTTTCGACTCTGTCAACCACCGCATTCACGTCTCCTGAGTGGCGCAGTGGTCTAAGGCACTGCATCGCAGTGCTAACTGTGCCACTAGAGATCCTGGTTCGAATCCAGGCTCTGTCGCAGCCGGCCGCGACCGGGAGACTCATGAGCGGCGCACAATTGGCCCAGCGTTGTCCAGGGTAGGGGAGGGAATGGCCGGCAGGGATGTAGCTCAGTTGATAGAGCATGGCGTTTGCAACGCCAGGGTTGTGGGTTTGATTCCCACGGGGGGCCAGTATAAAAAAAAAAATAATAATAATAAAATGTATTCACTAACGGTAAGTCGCTCTGGATAAGAGCGTCTGCTAAATGACTAAAATGTAAATGTAATTCTTATTGGCAGACTAAATAGCCTTGGTTTCTCTAATGACTGCCTCGCCTGGTTCACCAACTACTTCTCAGATATAGTTCAATGTTTCAAATCGGAGGGCCTGTTGTCTGGACCTCTGGCCGTCTCTATGGGGGTGGCACAGGGTTCAAATCTCGGGCCGACTATTCTCTGTGTATATCAATGATGTCGCTCTTGCTGCTGGTGATGCTCGGATCCACCTCTATTCGGACAACACCATTTTGTATACATCTGGCCCTTCATTGGACACTGTGTTAACAAACCTCCAAACGAGCTTCAACGCCATACAACACTCCTTCCGTAGCCTCCAACTGCTCTTAAACACTAGTAAAACGAAATGCACGTTGCTTGCACCCGCCTGCCCGACTAGAATCACTACTCTCGGCGGGTCTGACCTAGAGTATGTGGACAACTACAAATACCTAGGTGTCTGGTTAGACTGTAAACTCTCCTTCCAGACTCACATTAAGCATCTCCAATCCAAAGTTAAATCTAGAATCGGCTTCCTATTTCGCAACAAAGCCTCCTTCACTCATGCTGCCAAACATGCCATCGTAAAACTGACTATCCTACCGATCCTTGACTTCGGCGATGTCATTTACAAAATAGCCTCCAACACTCTACTCAGCAAATAGGATGTAGTCTATCACAGTGCCATCCGTTTTGACACCAAAGCCCCATATACTACCCACCATTGTGACCTGTACGCTCTTGTTGGCTGGCCCTCACTACATATTCGTCGCCAAACCCACTGGCTCCAGGTCATCTATAAATCACTGCTAGGCAAATCCCTGTCTTATCTTAGCTCACTGGTCACCATAGCAACACCCACCCGTAGTCTGCGCTCCAGCAGGTATATCTCACTGGTCATCCCCAAAGCCAACACCTCCTTTGGCCGCCATTCCTTCCAGTTCTCTGCTGCCAATGACTGGAACGAACTGCAAAAATCTCTGAAGCTGGAGACTCTTATCTCCCTCACTAACTTTAAGCGTCAGTTGTCAGCAGCTTACCGATCACTGCACCTGTACACAGCCTTTCTGAAATTAGCCCACCCAACTACCTCATCCCCATATTGTTATTTATTTTGCTAATTTGCACCCCAGTATCTCTATTTGCACATCATCTTTTGCACATCTATCATTCCAGTGTTAATACGAAATTGTAACTATTTTGCACTATGGCCTATTTATTGCCTTACCTCCATAACTTACTACATTCGCACACACTGTATATATATATTTTCTGTTGTATTTTTGACTTTATGTTTGTTTTACCCCATATGTAACTCTGTTGTTTTTATCGCACTGCTTTGCTTTATCTTGGCCAGGTCGTAGTTGTAAATGAGAACTTGTTCTCAACTGGCTTACCTGGTTAAATAAAGGTGAAATAAAATAAAAATAAAATAAAAGTATGTACTCACTAACTGTCAGTTGCTCTGGATAAGAGCGTCTGCTAAATGACTAAAATGTAAATGTAAAAATGTATCATAAGTATAATTTCATATCGATGTGTTCTTCCCTGTCCAGGACGTATCAAGCAGCTGATTGAGCTGGGTCTGTTGGCTACCGCCAGCATCCGTCTGTTTGTGCTGGACGAGGCTGACAAACTACTGGAGGAAGGCAGCTTCCAGGACCAGATCAAGTGAGAGACACACACTCACACACACACAATGGTCTTCGCTCAACTCCACCAGACTGACGTCTGTCTGCTGTCTGTCTGTCTGTCTGTCTCTTAGAGATCCTATTAAATTACTAGACCGGCTAAACCGTTAAAGAGCCTTAATGGCCTGAAAATGGCAGCCAATGTGGTCAGGGAGACATCCAAACCAGTCTAATTGGAATTAATGACAGTAGAGGCATAGGTGATGCATTTCCTGCTTTTACGTATGCAGGAAAATAAAGGAAGGCATGTGATATATCATAAATTATGTAATATAATTATTGTCAACCAAAAAGATTGTCATCAGTCATTCCCCTATATTCAGTTAGCAGTGACTTTAAAGAAAAAATAGCATTCAGGGATGCTAAAACGTTTTCAGTGTAAACTTAAATGACTAAAGACAGATATAAAGTATGTAGAAAGGATAATGGAGCAATATATTTTTTAAATAAGATTCTTTGATAACTAAGAATCACCAAAATAAAAACTAGACAGTTGGGGACAATCTAAAATTCCAAAAATATCATGGCATGGGGCCCCCATTGATTTTGTTCTAATTTTTTAGTTACTGGGATAGCGTAAGAACACAGCATAAGCCATGGCAAAATGTGTAGAATTGCGGGAAATTTAGCTTTAAAACTGCAAATTCTCTCAGCCCAATGGCAAAATGTGTAGAATTGCAGGAAATTAGCTTTAAAACACCAACATTTTGTGTCTGCAGCCAAAAGCTAAAATGTTTGTTTGGAGACTGCGCTATTGGCCACACCAAAATGGCTGACCTTTTATACCATCATAAGAAGGTTCATGTCCATTTATAGTATTCTTAATCCTAATTCTATGCTCTATCTCTCTAGTTGGATCTTCTCCTCTCTGCCGGTCAACAAACAGATGTTGGCCCTGTCTGCCACCTACCCAGAATCCCTTGCCCAGCACCTGGTCCACTATATGAGAGAGCCCACCTTCGTCAGACTTAACCCCTCCGACCCTGGACTCATAGGTCAGTATCACAGCTCAACCAGTAACATCCAGGTACAGCAGGCATCACGTCCCAGACAGACACACAGATGTTCCATGATTTTGGGTCAAGATTAGCAACAAGATTGTGATGTGTGTTTATTTCACTGAGATGTGTATTCTGCACCCCTCAGGGTTGAAGCAGTACTACAGGCTGGTTCACTCCCATGCCATGCCCCATAAGGTGTTTGAGGAGAAGGTTCTACACCTGCTGGAGCTGTTCAGTAAAGTTCCCTTCAATCAAGCTCTGGTGTTCTCCAACCTGCACACCAGGTAGGACCCTCACCTAGAGTGTTACTGTAACATCAACTAGCTATGTAAATAACTGTCAACACAGTCATTTGTTTTGCAGTGTAGTCACCCTATTAGTAGTATTATTTTTATTTTTTGCATTTTTCTTTTTGTTCAATCATTTCTTATTGTATGGTTTTCATCCCTGCAGGGCTCAGCATTTAGCAGACATCCTGTCCTCAAAGGGCCTTCCTGCAGTCTGTATCTCAGGTGAGAGGGCCAGGGCCAGCAGGGGGCACTATACTAGAGTACATTACTCTTACTAGATTCTACTGTGACTACTACTAGTCTACTGTCATAATAAAACGAAATCAGATGTAATATGCTGTAATGTGTGTGTAGGTAGTCTGAGTCAGGACCAGAGAATGGAGGCCATGTCTAAACTGAAGCAGTACCAGTGTAGAGTACTCATCTCTACTGACCTGGTGAGTGTTTCAGCTACCTCAGATCACACCTACCTCATCTCCACAATAACCTCACAAAGGGCTCTCCTAACCTCACAAATATCCTCAAGAACAGAACATTTCTGTATCACTCGCTAAAAGCAGCTTCCCCCATCTCCATCCTCTTCTCTCCCAGACCTCCAGGGGTATAGATGCTGAGAAGGTGAATCTGGTGATCAACCTGGATGTTCCTCAAGACTGGGAGACCTACATGCACCGTATAGGACGAGCCGGACGCTTTGGTGAGTTCTGCCCGTCAACACAGCCATTACATCCCAATCACAGGGCTAGGACATCGGCCTGTTCCTAGTGTCTGTAGCACTCAGTCTTTAGATTGGCCCCAAGGTCAACAGGCTGGTTAATCACTCAGCCGTGTTTGTGGAGGTGATAGACAGAACCCTCTAGGTGACTACAAACTCTCTGGGTTTTCATGACAACCTCAGGCTGGCTGGAGTGGCATCTTTCTGTTGTCAGAACTCTTCTTTGTTTTTCCCTCTTACACACACACACCTGCTAGCTTCATGGGTCCTCATACTGAGTGTTTTCTCTTTTGTCCCAGGTACACACGGGCTGGCGGTGACCTACTGTTGCCATGGCGAGGAGGAGAACAAGATGATGGCCATCGCTCAGAAGTGCAACCTGATTCTTTGCGCTCTACCAGGTAAGATCTGGATGTCCTTGTGACATCTTTGTGACCTTAGTTGTGTTTTCAGTCATTTAGATCAGATTGTGGGTTATTTTTATAAATGGAGCATGTGTGTTGTGTTGCTGTGTTATTGTGATCAATCTCCTAACCCCAACATCTCTCCTCCAGACCCCATAGAGCCAGGGCTGATGCAGGAGCCCTGTGACTGGGACATCACTGTGGAGGCCCTGACACAAGGGACTAACTCCCAGGTGTTCCCCAAGACAGAGAAAAGGAGACGGGCTAAGACCGAATCCCCAGCCCCTAAACCCTCCAGGGAACAGGACCAGGATCAGGACCCCAGCCCTCTCTACCCAGAGAGAACTGAACCCAGCCGACCAGGTAAGAGCCAGCACACAGCCAGGCCTGGGGCTAAGGCTGGGCCGAAGCCCAAAAATGTGTCCCCTGCCCTGGATGTCCTCCTACCCGCTCCCAGGGCTTCAGTAGGCCCTGGGGCCTCCCTAGCTCTCTCCCGTAAAGAGCAACAGGATGCCCTGCCCAAGATCCCTCCGCTCAGCGCCTTCAAGAGTCAAAGGTCAGGGATCATGACCTTCCAGGAGGCAGAGCTGGACTTCCAGAGCTTCATCAGGGAGGGGCTGGGGAGGACGGTAGAGGTCATCCGACAGTTCAGAGGTCACGGAGACGACGGCGAGGGATTTAACGGTCAGCACAGCTACGAGGAGTCTCACACACTCCAGAATGACTATGTGCCGCTCACACACACACACATGACACGGAACGGAGAGCGTCCACCAACACGCACACAGCTGCCTCTAAAGGCGAACTCTGACCCCTCAACTTTGGAGTCGACCTCTGATGGGTCCAGCTCTGACTCGGACATGGAGGAAGACCGGCAGGCTGACGAGTCGACGCAGAGCTCCGCAGATCAGTCCAGAGCAGCTGAACACAAACCAATCATGCCGATTCAAACTCAATCTGCACAGCAATCCACAGTCGTGGATTTGGCCAGGAAACCAAAGTTTGCGCCACCTAGAAGCCATCCCAACTCACCATCTGTACCCCAGCCCAGCCACCATAGATTCCCCAGACCAGAGGGAAGAGCTGTGAGTACAAACCCCGGGGAGGGTGAACCTTCATTGGGGAAGGCAAAGGGCAGAGAGGCTGCAGCACAGCAGTGGAGGGGGGAGACGGCGAAGAAAGTCAAAAGGGAGAAGGAGAGAGATATTTTAGAGGAGAGCTGGAGGAAGGTGCCTGAGAATCGAGGGAGTGACAGGAAGAGGGATGGAGGGAGTGAGGTAGTGGAGGAGGAGAATGGAGAGGGTTATGAGGGCTACTGGAGGGCCTACTACAGAGCTTGGGAGGATTACTACGCCTCCATGCCCCCCTCTCACCACCAGGGTTACCATGGCTACCACAGTATGGCCTCCAGCTGGATGGCTGCCTACCGTATGAACTCTGTGTACATGGAAGAACTGTTAAAACACTAACGCAGGGCTTCACACTTAGACCAGAGAAACTGAGTTAAACTTCTGCCAAAGACATGAGCTATTCTGTCCACTTAATGTCTGCTGTTATCAGTGAAACAAACACAAAGTTTTGAAAAGTTAAAGATGGTTAAAACGTTAAAGATCTCTTTGTTGGAGCAGCAAATGGTGAACAGACATTAATAATTTCTTCAGTTATTTTAAGGCAATCACTGATTTCCACTTAACAATGTTATTTTGCTGTACATGTGTTAATTTCGAATGTAAAATAGTGGACTTATGCTAATATTATTGCATGATAAATAAATGTACTACATGCATTATTATTATGCCTACTTGGTGTACATGTTTATGTATGTACTTTTGTAATAAAGATACCTTTGTTCAATATGCCTCCTTTCAGACCTTATTTGATGCCCCTTGTCATTTTTACTCCATCTGATTCTAGAAACTCGGAGGAGAACATGGGTTGCGTTTACACAGGCAGACCAATTCTGATTAAGAAAAATATATACACTACCGGTTTTAGAACACCTACTCATTCAAGGGTTTTTCTTTATTTTTACTATTTTTTACATTGTAGAATAATAGTGAAGACATCAAAACGATGAAATGACACATGGAATGATGTAGTAACCAAAAAAGTGTTAAACGAATCCAAATATATTTGAGATTCTTCAAATAGCCACTCTTTGCCTTGATGACAGCTTTGGACACTCTTGGCATTCTCTCAACCAGCTTCATGAGGTTCCTCATGTTCAACTGTCTGGTGTTGAGCCTGACTTTTCTCCTGGGACTGCTGGGGAACCTGTTGGTGTGCTGGGTGATGTACAGGACTGACTGTGCAGACTGCCAACAACGCACTGCTGGTAAACTTGGCTGCCAACGACCTGTTGAAATGCCCTCTTTCTGCTGTCTGCTACTGGAGGGGGGTTAGAGGAGGTGTTGCTGTCCGTCCTGCTGTGCTCCCTGCAGCAGTTCACCTATGGCATGCCCTCTGCTCAGCATCAGCATGGAACGGTTCCAGGCCATCGCTTTCCCATTTCACAACGAGAAGACGAAGGCCAGGATTCGGGTTTGGATCCTCTCCATCTGGGCTTTCGGGCTACTTCTAGCCATCCTTTCGGTGGCTCTGGCCAGACACGATCTGTTTTATTTTTATTTATTTATTTCACTTTTATTTAACCAGGTAAGCCAGTTGAGGACAAGTTCTCATTTACAACTGCGACCTGGCCAAGATAAAGCAAAGCAGTGCGGAAAAAACAACAACACAGAGTTACATATGGAATAAACAAAACGTACAGTCAATAACACAATAGAAAATCTATATACAGTGTGTGCAAATGTAGTAAGTTATGGAGGTAAGGCAATAAATAGGCCATAGTGCAAAAATAATTACAATTATAATTTAGTATTAACACTGGAGTGATAGATGTGCAGAAGATGTTGTGCAAATAGAAATACTGGGGTGCAAATGAGCAAAATAAATAACAATGTAAATAACAATATGGGGATGAGGTAGTTGGGTGGGCTAATTACAGATGGGCTGTGTACAGGTGCAGTGATCGGTAAGCTGCTCTGACAACTGATGCTTAAAGATAGTGAGGGAGATGAGTGTCTCCAGCTTCAGAGATTTTTGCAGTTCGTTCCAGTCATTTGCGGCAGAGAACTGGAAGGAATGGCGACCAAAGGAGGTGTTGGCTTTGGGGATGACCAGTGAGAGATACCTGCAGGAACGCATACTACTGGTGGGTGTTGCTATGGTGACCAATGAGCTAAGATAAGGTGGGGATTTGCCTAGAAGGGATTTACAGTGAGGGAAAAAAGTATTTGATCCCCTGCTGATTTTGTACGTTTGCCCACTGACAAAGACATGATCAGTCTATAATTTTAATGGTAGGTTTATTTGAACAGTGAGAGACAGAATAACAACAAAAAAATCCAGAAAAACGCATGTCATGAATGTTATGAATTGAGGGAAATAAGTATTTGACCCCTCTGCAAAACATGACTTAGTACTTGGTGGCAAAACCCTTGTTGGCAATCACAGAGGTCAGACATTTCTTGTAGTTAGCCACCAGGTTTGCACACATCTCAGGAGGGATTTTGTCCCACTCCTCTTTGCAGATCTTCTCCAAGTCATTAAGGTTTCGAGGCTGACGTTTGGCAACTCGAACCTTCAGCTCCCTCCACAGATTTTCTATGGGATTAAGGTCTGGATACTGGCTAGGCCACTCCAGGACCTTAATGTGCTTCTTCTTGAGCCACTCCTTTGTTGCCTTGGCCGTGTGTTTTGGGTCATTGTCATGCTGTAATACCCATCCACGACCCATTTTCAATGCCCTGGCTGAGGGAAGGAGGTTCTCACCCAAGATTTGACGGTACATGGCCCCGTCCATCATCCCTTTGATGCAGTGAAGTTGTCCTGTCCCCTTAGCAGAAAAACACCCCCAAAGCATAATGTTTCCACCTCCATGTTTGACGGTGGTGATGGTGTTCTTCGGGTCATAGGCAGCATTCCTCCTCCTCCAAACACGGCGAGTTGAGTTGATGCCAAAGAGCTCCATTTTGGTCTCATCTGACCACAACACTTCCACCCAGTTCTCCTCTGAATAATTCAGATGTTCATTGGCAAACTTCAGATGGCCCTGTATATGTGCTTTCTTGAGCAGGGGGACCTTGCGGGCGCTGCAGGATTTCAGTCCTTCACGGCGTAGTGTGTTACCAATTGTTTTCTTGGTGACTATGGTCCCAGCTGCCTTGAGATCATTGACATGATCCTCCCGTGTAGTTCTGGGCTGATTCCTCACCATTCTCATGATCATTGCAACTCCACGAGGTGAGATCTTGCATGGAGCCCCAGGCCGAGGGAGATTGACAGTTATTTTGTGTTTCTTCCATTTGCGAATAATTGCACCAACTGTTGTCACCTTCTCACCAAGCTGCTTGGCGATGGTCTTGTAGCCCATTCCAGCCTTGTGTAGGTCTACAATCTTGTCCCTGACATCCTTGGAGAGCTCTTTGGTCTTGGCCATGGTGGAGAGTTTGGAATCTGATTGACTGATTGCTTCTGTGGACAGGTGTCTTTTATACAGGTAACAAACTGAGATTAGGAGCACTCCCTTTAAGAGTGTGCTCCTAATCCCAGCTCGTTACCTGTATAAAAGTCACCTGGGAGCCAGAAATCTTTCTGATTGAGATGGGGTCAAATACTTATTTCCCTCATTAAAATGCAAATAAATTTATAATATTTTTGACGTGTTTTTCAGGATTTTTTTGTTGTTATTCTGTCTCTCACTGTTCAAATAAACCTACCATTAAAATTATAGACTGAAAATGTCTGTCAGTGGGCAAACGTACAAAATCAGCAGGGGATCAAATACTTTTTTCCCTCACTGTATAGATGACCTGGAGCCAGTGGGTTTGGCGACGATTATGTAGTGAGGGCCAGCCAACGAGAGCGTACAGGTCACAATGGTGGGTAGTATATGGGGAGATGCTTAATGTGAGTCTGGAAGGAGAGTTTACAGTCTAACCAGACACCTAGGTATTTGTAGTTGTCCACATATTCTAAGTCAGAGCCACCGAGAGTAGTGATTCTAGTCGGGCAGGGAGGTGCAAGCAGCGTTCGATTGAAGAGCATGCATTTAGTTTTACTAGCGCTTAAGAGCAGTTGGAGGCCACGGAAGGAGTGTTGTATGGCATTGAAGCTCGTTTGGAGGTTTGTTAACACATTGTCCAATGAAGGGCCAGACGTATACAAAATGGTGTCGTCTGCGTAGAGGTGGATCTGAGAGTCACCAGCAGTAAGAGCGACATCATTGACATACACAGAGAATAGAGTCTGCCCGAGAATTGAACCCTGTGGCACCCCCATAGACTGCCAGAGGTCCAGACAACAGGCCCTCCGATTTGACACATTGAACTCTATCTGAGAAGTAGTTGGTGAACCAGGCGAGGCAGTCATTAGAGAAACCAAGGCTATTTAGTCTGCCAATAAGAATGCGGTGATTGACAGAGTCAAAAGCCTTGGCCAGGTCAATGAAGACGGCTGCACAGTACTGTCTTTTATCGATCGCGGTTATTATATCATTTAGGACCTTGAGCGTGGCTGAGGTACACCCATGACCAGCTCGGAAACCAGATTGCATAGCGGAGAAGGTACGGTGGGATTCTAAATGGTCGGTGATCTGTTAACTTGGCTTTCAAATACTTTCGAAAGGCAGGGCAGGATGGATATAGGTCTATAACAGTTTGGATCTAGAGTGTCACCCCCTTTGAAGAGGGGGATGACCGCGGCAGCTTTCCAATCTCTGGGGATCTCAGACGATACGAAAGAGAGATCGAACAGGCTGGTGATAGGGGTTGCGACAATTTCGGCGGCTAATTTTAGAAAGAAAGGGTCCAGATTGTCTAGCCCAGCTGATTTGTAGGGGTCCATATTTTGCTGCTCTTTCACAACATCAGCTATCTGAATTTGGGTGAAGGAGAAGCGGGGGGGGGTTGCAGAGCTGGTGGCCGGGGTAGGAGAGTAGCAAAATGCTTGTTGAAATGTATCGGTACTGACAGTGTTTCCTAGCCTCAGTGCAGTGGGCAGCTGGGAGGAGGTGCTCTTATTCTCCATGGACTTTACAGTGTCCCATAACTTTTTGGAGTTAGTACTACAGGATGCAAATTTCTGTTTGAAAAAGTTAGCCTTTGCTTTCCTAACAACAGGAAGCCTGTTGAAACCACATCAGACGATTACGTCGGCAGACCAGTCGTGATGGATCGGCAGGGCTCCGTGTCAACACTAGGAGTTCCCGTCCGGTTGACAGAGAGGTTGATAGCCGGGAGATGGGCCTGGCTCGAGGCTAGCTCAAGGCTAACTGGGGTTAGCTTCAGGACAGTGGTGATTAGTGGTGATTAGCCAACAATGACAACAGCCATTCGGTTGCAGCTAGCTAGTTGCGATGATCCGGTGTTAAGGTCCAGTGATTCAGTGATTCCGGCAGAAAATCCGATATGCTCTGGCTCGATAACGCGATGTGCAGACTGGCCGATAATTGTCCAGGCTAGAGCTGGCTGGTAGGTAGTGCAGGCCACGGCCACGGACAATGGTGAAGACCACTAACGGTGGCTAATAGCAAGTAGCTAGTTAGCTGGCTAGCTGGCTAGTTTCAGCCAGAGGTTCTGGATAAAAATGTATGAAGAAATAATGGAATCCGTTCCACATTGGGTGAGGCGGGTTGCAGGAAAGTATATTTAGTTAAAGGATGGAAAGTGAGATTCAGAAATATATACGAAAAAAAAAAAAACAGGCTATTTACATGAGGACACTACAGAAAACACGACCGCACTGCTATGCCATCTTGGATATGATGTGCCATCGTCACGTAGGCGAACACGGACCTGTTTTGCACGTATGTTTTGGTTCCAGTGTGGGGCTGCAGCCTAACTTTAATAGTTATTCACTAGGTGCGGATAATTAAAGTAGTCAGGCAACACGGTAACAAAGTTTTCGACCGCAGGATTCAGCTGTGTCGAGGCACATTGGAGTTGTCAGAACTCTTATTTCAGCACCACGGATAGCACCGGGGCACACGTTCAGATCCTTACCCGCGGCTGGAGCGTCGCGGATTCTATAACTCACCCGGTGCACAGTGATCACAGTGTCTGAGTCAGCAACCCTGTGTTGGAGAAAGCTCAGGAGATAGTGGGGGCCGTGTGTCTCCTCACCCCCACCGCTAGGGAGAGGGGACAGAAGAGGACGGAGGGGAAACTGGCTAAGTGCTTCGGGTACATCGTCATCACCTTCACTCTCTTCTGGATGCCCATGGTTGTGATTCTGCTAATACACGTCATCGTGACGAGGGGCAGAGACTCAGTGAGTAGGCTATATCATGAAATTATCAGAAAATTTGTCTTTACAGATTTTATACACTGCTCAAAAAAATTAAGGGAACACTTAAACAACACAATGTAACTCCAAGTCAATCACATTTCTGTGAAATCAAACTGTCCACTTAGGAAGCAACACTGATTGACAATAAATGTCACATGCTGTTGTGCAAATGGAATAGACAACAGGTGGAAATTATAGGCAATTAGCAAGACACCCCCAATAGAGGACTGGTTTTGCAGGTGGTGACCACAGACCACTTCTCAGTTCCTATGCTTCCTGGCTGATGTTTTGGTCACTTTTGAATGCTGGCGGTGCTTTCACTCTAGTGGTAGCATGAGACGGAGTCTACAACCCACACAAGTGGCTCAGGTAGTGCAGCTCATCCAGGACGGCACATCAATGCGAGCTGTGGCAAGAAGGTTTGCTGTGTCTGTCAGCGTAGTGTCCAGAGCATGGAGGCGCTACCAGGAGACAGGCCAGTACATCAGGAGACATGGAGGAGGCCGTAGGAGGGCAACAACCCAGCAGCAGGACTGCTACCTCCGCCTTTGTGCAAGGAGGAGCAGGAGGAGCACTGCCAGAGCCCTGCAAAATGACCTCCAGCAGGCCACAAATGTGCATGTGTCTGCTCAAACAGTCAGAAACAGACTCCATGAGGGTGGTATGAGGGCCCAACGTCCACAGGTGGGGGTTGTGCTTACAGCCCAACACCGTGCAGGACGTTTGGCATTTGCCAGAGAACACCAAGATTGGCAAATTCGCCACTGGCGCCCTGTGCTCTTCACAGATGAAAGCAGGTTCACACTGAGCACCTGTGACAGACATGACAGAGTCTGGAGACGCCGTGGAGAACGTTCTGCTGCCTGCAATATCCTCCAGCATGACCGGTTTGGCGGTGGGTCAGTCATGGTGTGGGGTGGCATTTCTTTGGGGGGCCGCACAGCCCTCCATGTGCTCGCCAGAGGTAGCCTGACTGCCATTAGGTACCGAGATGAGATCCTCAGACCCCTTGTGAGACCATATGCTGGTGTGGTTGGCCCTGGGTTCCTCCTAATGCAAGACAATGCTAGACCTCATGTGGCTGGAGTGTGTCAGCAGTTCCTGCAAGAGGAAGGCATTGATGCTATGGACTGGCCCGCCCGTTCCCCAGACCTGAATCCAATTGAGCACATCTGGGACATCATGTCTCGCTCCATCCACCAAAGCCACGTTGCACCACAGACTGTCCAGGAGTTGGCGGATGCTTTAGTCCAGGTCTGGGAGGAGATCCCTCAGGAGACTATCCGCCACCTCATCAGGAGCATGCCCAGGCGTTGTAGGGAGGTCATACAGGCACGTGGAGGCCACACACACTACTGAGCCTCATTTTGACTTGTTTTAAGGACATTACATCAAAGTTGGATCAGCCTGTAGTGTGGTTTTCCACTTTAATTTTGAGGGTGACTCCAAATCCAGACCTCCATGGGTTGATACATTTGATTTCCATTGATAATTCTTGTGTGATTTTGTTGTCAGCACATTCAACTATGTAAAGAAGAAAGTATTTAATAAGATTATTTCATTCATTCAGATCTAGGATGTGTTATTTTAGTGTTCCCTTTATTTTTTTGAGCAGTGTATTTATTTACAACTTTTACAATGTTTAATTTTGTAGCCTACTCTTTCATCCCCTCTCCTCTCCCCTCTCTCCCTCTGCCCCCCTCCCTCCTCCCTCTCCCTGTTTTACTCCTCTTCCCTCGTCTCTCCCTCTGCCCCTGCACCCCCTCCCTTTCCTGTTTTCTCCAGCAGAGCTGGGTCCTGAGGGAGCTGGAGACCTGAGCCATGGTCCTGACCTGTGTCCCTGTTGCTGTGGACCCCCTCATCTACACCATGGTCACCAGACATTTCCGCTCTGAGTTCAGCAAGCTGCTCTCCTCACTCCACTGCAGGGGCTGAGGAACCAATCCAGACCCAGGACTGGGAGGACTGAGAACTGGGAAACCTGGACAGAACTAAAGGCAGGTCTGCAGGGGATTCAATTACAGTGCCCTGTCAGCACAGTATAATTTCATACAATTGAGAAGTCTATCATCATGGGTAAATGAACTAATAACATCTCACTTTTAGGGTCTTTACCTGAGTTTAGTCAAGTAGATATTAAAACATGCTAGCCAGGCTGATAGCCCTTTCCACATGTGTAGATGTACAGTGCATTCGGAAAGTATTCAGACCCCTTGACGTTTTCCACATTTTATTACGTTACAGCCTTATTCTAAAATGGATCAAATTGTTTTTTTTCCCTCATCAATCTACACACAATACCCCATAATGACAAATCAAAAACTGGCTTTTAGACATTTTTGCAAATGTATATTAAAAAAATAAAACTGAAATATCACATTTACATAAGTATTCAGACCCTTTACTCAGTACTTTGTTGAAGCACCTTTGTCAGCGATTACAGCCTCTAGTCTTCTTGTGTATGAAGCTACATGCTTGGCACACCTGTATTTGGGGAGTTTCTCCCATTCTTCTCTGCAGATCCTCTCAAGCTCTGTCAGGTTAGATGGGGAGCATTGCTGCACAGCTATTTTAAGGTCTCTCCAGAGATGTTCGATCGGGTTCAAGTCCTGGCACTGGCTGGGCCACTCAAGGACATTCAGAGGCTTGTCCTGAAGCCACTCCTGCGTTGTCTTGGCTGTGTGCTTAGGGTCATTGTCCTGTTGGAAGGTGAACCTTCACCCCAGTCTGAGGTCCTGAGCGCTCTGGAGCAGGTTTTCATTAAGGATTTCTCTGTACTTTGCTCCGTTCATCTTTCTCTCGATCCTGACTAGTCTCCCAGGCCCTGCCGCTGAAAAACATCCCCACAGCATGATGCTGCCTCCACCATGCTTCACCGTAGGGATGGTGCCAGGTTTCCTCCAGATGTGACGCTTGGCATTCAGGCCAAAGAGTTCAATCTTGGTTTCATCAGACCAGAGAATCTTGTTTCTCATGGTCTGAGAGTCCTTTAGATGCCTTTTGGCAAACTCCAAGCGTGCTGTCATGTGCCTTTTACTGAGTAGTGGCTTCCTTCTGGCCACTCTACCATAAAGGCCTGATTGGCGTAGTGCTGCAGAGATGGTTGTCCTTCTGGAAGGTTCTCCCATCTCCACAGATGAATTCTGGAGCTCTGTCAGAGTGACCATCGGGTTGTTGGTCACCTCCCTGACCAAGGCCCTTCTCCCTCGATTGCTCAGTTTGGCCGGGTGGCCAGCTCTAGGAAGAGTCTTGGTGGTTCCAAACTTTTTCCATTTAAGAATGATGGAGGCCACTGTGTTCTTGGGGACCTTCAATGCTGAATACATGTTTTGGTACCCTTCCCCAGATCTGTGCCTTGACACAATCCTGTCTCGGAGCTCTACGGACAATTCCTTCCACCTCATGGCTTGGTTTTTGCTCTGACATGCACTGTCAATTGTGGGACCTTATATAGACAGGTATGTGCCTTTCGAAATCATGTCCAATCAATTGAATTGACCACAGATAGACTCCAATCAAGTTGTAGAAACATCTCAAGGATGATCAATGGAAACAGGATGCACCCGAGCTCAATTTCGAGTCTCATAGCAAAGGGTCTGAATACTTATTTTTTTAAAATTATTTTTTAAATACATTTGCAAACATTTCTAAAAACCAGTTTTCACTTTGTTATTATTGGGTATTGTGTGTATATTGATAAGGAAAATAAATAATTTAATCAATTTTAGAATAAGGCTGTAACGTAACAAAATGTGGAAAAAGTCAAGGGGTCTGATTACTTTCCGAATGCACTGTATGAATTGAATATACAATAGCTAATGGGATTGTACAGTATGTGCCGTATTGATGCCTTTATGAGGGCTATGACTGTTAAGCATCTGTTCTTACTGTCATCAGCATGTGTGAAATTGCAATTAGTGAATGAAGAAAAGCTACTTACAACTATCATACACACACACTACACCCCGCCACCCCCAAGGTCTGTTAGTTGATGACAAAAAGACAGAGTCAGAGGTGGTTTTGGCAGATATCGATGTTTTTATCAGGCGTTTCACAGCCGGGACACAAGACAAGGTCATAAATAATAACCAACGACTGACAGGATACGCACAGCATTAGTGTCAACAACGACAGGAGTCAGGGAGGGGAATGCAAAGAGAGACTGAGCCGAAGAAAAGACAAGTAGGCTAAGGAACAGGAAAAGAAAAATTAGGAGAGAGAGGACCGACACATGTAACAGACCTCCGCATTAATCCTTTGGGAAAAGATAACAATCATTTGACTCTTTTTAGGGGAGTATTGTGTGTTTGATCACAACCCCCCTACAGTGTCATGGTAGGCTACACTGCAACGTCAGCCATTTTATTTGATTTAAGTCATGGTATGCAGGACTTGTGATAACACCTTTCTATTTCAACTCAATAATGGGGAACCTACTTTTACTGACCGCTGTTGTAGACCGCTTTTCTATCAATCTAATTCAAATAGTGTTACAACCAGACAGGAAACTGTGAGTAAGATGTAATTCGCTTCGGAAAAGTGCCTGCCTGTCTGTGCTTTTTTTCCAATGTTTGCTCTGTGACAGAACGTCTGACAGTGTATTACGCAATACACTAATAGTCATAGTCGGAATTCCCCTCGACCAGGCCCACAAATTGGGGGAAAACCAACATTCTTTCCTATTGACCCCCATTGTAAAATTGGCAACTTTGTTGTGACATTTTTGTTATACCGAAATAACAAAACATGCTGAAAAGCTGCTGTGTTGTTCAATGTACATGTAGCTAGGTAAAAAATCCCAACCTATGGTTCGCAATGCTACCCCATAAGGAGATAGAGCCTGCGAGAAGAGCCCTGTGGCTTCAGGCTATTCGATGTGGGAAATGTGGGGACACGGTATCCAAGTAGGCTACACGTATCTGTGTGTGGAAAACATTTAATCACGGGTAAGACATTGAACTTGTTTAGTAGCATCCGTTTGTAACTCCACTCACTACTTGTAGCTGTATATTCCATTTGGTTGTGTTGTTGGTCTTGGCTAGCTTAATGTTCCGGTCGGTAGCTAGCTAGCAATCACTCACGTGGCTGCTAGCATCGTCATGAAATGGGGCATGAGGGAAGCCCTACAATAATACGTAATGAGAACGCTAGGGAGCAGGCAATGTTGAAAAGTAATCTTTAGACATATTGTACTTCTCTTAAATGTAGTTTTGTAATTGACTAAAACAAGCAGACAACAAGAAAATTGCGTTTGAAAAAGGTCAAGTGTTTGCTGTGAGCCAATGGAATAACCTACAGTGCATTTGGAAAGTATTCAGACCCCTTGACTTTGTCCACGTTTTGTTACATTACAGCCTTATTCTAAAATTGATTAAATAGTTTTTCCCCCTCATTAATCTACACACAATACCCCATAATGACAAAGCAAAAACAGGTTTTTAGAGTTTTTAGCAAATTTATAAAAAATAAAAAACTTGAATACCACATTTACATAAGTATTCAGACCATTTACTCAGTACTTTGTTGAAGCACCTTTGGCAGAGATTACAGCCTCAAGTCTTCTTGCGTATGACGCTACAAGCTTGGCACACCTGTATTTGGGGAGTTTCTCCCATTCTTCTCTGCAGATCCTCTCAAGCTCTTTCAGGTTGGATGGGGAGCGTCGCTGCACAGCTATTTTCAGGTCTCTCCAGAGATGTTCGATCGGGTTCAAGTCCGGGTTCTGGCTGTGCCACTCAAGGACATTGAGACTTGTCCCGAAGCCACTCCTGTGTTGTCTTGGCTGTGTGCTTAGGGTCGCTGTCCTGTTGGAAGGTGAACCTTCGCCCCAGTCTGAGGTCCTGAGCGCTCTGGAGCAGGTTTTCATCAAGGATCTCTCTGTACTTTGCTCCGTTCATCTTTCCCTCGATCTTGACTAGTCTCCCAGTCCCTGCCGCTGAAAAACATCCCCACAGCATGATGCTGCCTCCTCCATGCTTCACCGTAGGGATGGTGCCAGGTTTCCTCCAGACATGACGCTTGACATTCAGGCCAAAAAGTTCAATCTTGGTTTCATCAGACCAGAGAATCATGTTTCTCATGATCTGAGAGTCTTTAGGTGCCTTTTGGCAAACTCCAAGCGGGCTGTCATGTGCCTTTTTACTGAGTAGTGGCTTCCGTCTGGCCACTCTACCATAAAGGCCTGATTTGGTGGAGTGCTGCAGAGATGGTTGTCCTTATGTAAGGTTCTCCCATCTCCACAGAGGAACTCTGGAGCTCTGTCAGAGTGACCATCGGGTTCTCAGTCACCTCCCTGACCAAGGCCCTTCTCCCCCGATTGCTCAATTTTGCCCCGGTCGCTCACTCTAGGAAGAGTCTTGGTGGTTCCAAACTTATTCTATTTAAGAATGATGGAGGCCACTGTGTTCTTGGGGACCTTCAATGCTGCAGAAATGTTTTGGTACCCTTCCCCAGATCTGTGCCTCGACACAATGCTGTCTCGGAGCTCTACGGACAATTCCATGGCTTGGTTTTTGCTCTGACATGCACTGTCAACTGTGGGACCATATATAGACAGGTATGTGCCTTTCCAAATCATGTTCAATCAATTGAATTTACCACAGGTGGACTCCAATCAAGTTGTAAAAACATCTCAAGGATGATCAATGGAAACAGGATACACCTGAGCTCAATTTCGAGTGTCAAAGTAAAGGGTCTGAATACTTATGTAAATAAGGTATTTCTGTTTTTTATTTTGAATACGTTTGTAAACATTTTGAAAAACCTGGTTTCACTTTGTCGTTATGGGGTATTGTGTGTAGATTGAGGACATTTTATTTATTTAATCAATTTTAGAATAAGGCTGTAACGTAACAAAATGTGGAAAAAGTGAAGGGGTCTGAATACTTTCCGAATGCACTGTAGGTAACCACAAGTTGTTTTCCCCACAGGCGGGCAGGTTTACGACGTTCTATCTAATACCGACTGGGTCTATACTAGATCCTAGGAGCTATGGTCACGGAATACATCATTGAGTTCTAAAGTAGCAATACCTGTGCTTACAAATACAGCACATACACTAAATAAACAATACCATTAACTTCCTGATCAAACATAGTTGAACCCTTTTGGTTTGGTTGGTTCACAGGTCCTGTGTCATGTCGTAGATAGATGCCATAGATCTACTCTGCATTGCCCCTTTATGTGTCTGTATCTCTGGAAGGGTTGGGGTCTGAATTCAGTCTGAATAGACTGAATTGAAGTGGAACTGAGCCCAACTCTTGTCTCTGGTAAAGAGACATGTCAGACCCTGTAACCCAGAAGATAAAGGGCTAGTGTTAGATGGAAAGGTTGGTTTAGGTCCAGTCCTCCCTGCCTCTGTGGTCACCATGACAACAGATGTCCCAGGTTCAAGTTCTCCAGAAAAATTAAAAACATCTTAAGACCGAGAATGTCTCAGGGGAAAAACATGGAAAGCGACAGAAAAAGTACAAACACCAAGTTTCTATCCACATAGAAGATTACAGACACCCAACAACTTTGAAAAATGCCAGCTGAGTTTGGGGAGAAAACATTGACGACTAAAAACAACTACCAAAAGCATATTGTTGTTCACACAGAACGGAGGGAAGGATACAACAGGACGACAACGAGAGAGAAAGAGAGAGAGAGAGAGAGAGGACAGCTTCACTGGCTCTGCCAAACAATGGGCAAATATTACAAAATATTCTATTAACAATATTCACAATATAACCCAGGCTCTGGACAGATCTCTGTCAGAAATTCTCAGCAAACACCTTGTGCTTTTAGTTAGACGTAGTTTGAGTTTAAATACAACCTTTTTGGTCTTGGTGTCGGAGAATGAAGCAAGTTTACATAAAAGGTCTGTTGAATATCTACAATTAGAGCCCAGAGGAAAGCAAAGGGAGGGAAACCGACCTACCAAAAAAAAAAAAAAGAGAAATAAAATCAAGAATTTACTCAAACGAAACAGGCACATATTGTGTAAAAGGCTTCCAGCTGAGAATTTTGGACAGAAATGTGTACAGGAGCGTTCCATGAGTGGCAGCTAGTTGCACATAAACGGAGCCACGGACACTTACAGAAGAGCTAAACTACAGACAGGTCCTCAAACACACGCTCATACAGGCATACACACATAAACGTTCACAAATATAAGAAACCCACTAGTATCTCTGACACAGACACCTACCATAGTTTGATCTGTTAAGAATTTTCATTGTGAAATTAAAATATACCTGGTGGGAGAAAAAAACAAGGAAAAAATATGTTGTATCTATAAGTGGATCAAAATTTATCAAACCACAAATAACTAAACAAACCAGAAGAAAATGTTAATGATTTCGATATGTTTGCGTTCTTTTCTTTGATATGGTCACTGTTTCCTGCTGTAACGATGTAAAGACCAGACGGATCAAATGTCAAACTCAGGTTCCAAACCATAAAAAGATGGTCCTTGCTATCCGGGATCCTTGGGACATCCATTGAAGTTGAAATTTTAAATTGTTAATGTAAGGGTTAGGGTTATTGTTAAGGTTAGGGTTAGGTAAGTGTTATTGTTAAGGTTAGGGTTAGGGTTAGGTAAGGGTTATTGTTAAGGTAAGGGTTAAGGTTTAGTGTAGGGATGTCCCAATGATCCCGGATAGCACTAACCATAAAAAGGTGCTGTGTACATGGTCACGTATGACTTTACTTATCAACATCTCTCCAGCGACCCATCAAGTGCGTCTCTCTCACTCTCCTAAAACACACATTTTCTCTTTCATACACTCATTCATACACTCCAAAAACTCAAACCTCTTTTGTTTTCTCTAACACACATTCTCTCTCACACACACTTATACCCCTCAAACACACGCAAAACGCCCACTCAAACATACAGAAGCGCCCAGACACATACAGTAGTCTGTATCTAAAATCCATCCTCCATTTCGACAGGAAGTCCATGTCATTACAGTAGATCTCCACTAGAGGGCAGTCCTTCTCCATGTCTTCAGTCTGGGTTTCGGCCTTCAGAGCATTCGCCTGCTCCTCTGTCCTGTCCTTCACACTGTCCTTCTGTCTATCTGCATGAGTCTGTCTATCCATCATATCTGTCTGTCTGTCTGCGCGTCCTGCTGCGCTCCTACTCTCACAGCGCAGACACCTTCACAACGTTCTGAAGGGCGGGGCCAGGGGGTGGAGGGTGGGCGGGGCCAGGGGGTGGAGGGTGGGCGGGGCCAGGGGGTGGAGGGTAGGCGTCGCCCACAGGAGTGGTCGCTGGGGGCGTCGGAATGCTGATGATTGCAGTGGTAATCCTGCCGCTCTGGCAGTTGAGGCGCGCGGGTTCGTCCACACGCATGTTCAGACTGGAGCGACTGGAGAGAAAGAAAGAGGAGGGTATGAGGAACATATTTTTTGGAGACCAAATTTGTATTTGTTTTGTTATTTTTTTGTTGGGAGGTTACAGGTATGTTATCCATTTCACATTATCCATTTATAAAACCTGTACCCATAGGCTGCCACTCAAAATAAAAACTAAGAAATACACATAGTTTAATAATAAATACTAAATTCAGTATAAACAGGAATAGAAAAAAATTATGTGGGGGCCTCCACCCCCAACCTCCCATCCCATTCCCCCAAACCCACCCAGCCAACATGTCTCCATCCAGTGGGCACGCGATCACCAACACTGGACAATTGAGGAGTGGAAAAATGTCGCTGCCACTCAAAATAAAATAAAAACTAAGAAATACACACAGTTTAATAATAAATAATAAATTCAGTATAAACAGGAATATATATATCTTTTTTTGTGTGCCTCCACCCCCAACCTCCTATCCCATCCCATTCCCCCAACCCCACCCAGCCAACATGTCTCCATCCAGTGGGCACGCAATCACCAACACTGGACAATTGAGGAGTGGAAAAATGTCGCCTGATCTGACAAATCCAAGTTCCTGTTGCGTCATGCTGAAGACAGAGTCAGGATTTGGCCTAAGCAGCATGAGTCCATGGCCTCATCCTGCCTGGTGTCAGCGGTACAGGCTGGTGGTGGTGGGGCAATGGTGTGGGGAATGTTTTCCTAGCACACATTAGGTCCCTTGATACTAATTGAGCAAAGTTTCCATGCCACTAAGAATTCAGGCTGTTCTGGAGCCAAAGGGGGGTCCTACATGGTACTAGATGGGTGTACCTAATAATGCACTTTGAAATTAATTGTGTAACTTTGCTCCAGAAGCATTTAACTGCAGGACACTCAAATCAAATCAAACTTTAATTGTCACATGCGCCAAATACAACAGGTGTAGACCTTACCGTGAAATGCTTACTTACAAGCCCTTAACCAACAATGCAGTTAAAGAAAGACTTAAGAAAATATTTACCAACTAAACTAAAGTAACACAATCAAATTACAATAACGAGGCTATATACAGGGGGTAGCGGTACTGAGTCAATGTGCGGGGGTACAGGTTAGTTGAGGTAATTTGTACAGGTAGTGGTAAAGTGACTATGCATAGATAATAGACAGCGGGTAGCAGCAGTGTAAAAACAAATGGGGGGGGGGGTGTGTCAAGGTAAATAGTCTGGGTGGCCATTTTATTAATTGTTCAGCAGTCTTATGGCTTGGGTGTAGAAGCTGTTAAGGAGCCTTTTGGTCCTAGACTTGGCGCTCCGGTACTGCTTGCTGTGCGGTAGCAGAGAGAACAGTCTATGACTTGGGTGACTGGAGTCTTTGACAATTTTTTGGGCTTTCCTCTGACCGCCTAGTATATAGGTCCTGGATGGCAGGAAGCTTGGCACCAGTGATGTACTGGGCCGTATGCACTACCCTTTGTAGCGCCTTATGGTCAGATGCAGAGCAGTTGCCATACTAGGCGGTGATGCAACCGGTCAGGATGCTCTCGATGGTACATCTGTATAACTTTTTGAGGATCTGGGGACCCATGCCAAATCTGTTCAGTTTCCTGAGGGGGAAAAGGTGTTGTCATGCATTCTTCACGACTGTCTTGGTGTGTTTGGACCATGATAGTTTGTTGGTGATGTGGACACCAAGGAACTTGAAACTCTCGACCCGCTCCACTACAGCCCCGTCAATGTTAATGGGGGCCTGTTTGGCCCGCCTTTTCCTGTAGTCCACGATCAGCTCCTTTGTCTTGCTCACATTGAGGGAGAGGTTGTTGTCCTGGCACCACACTGCCAGGTCTCTGACCTCCTCCCTATAGGCTGTCTCATCGTTGTCAGTGATCAGGCCTACCACTGTTGCGTCGTCAGCAAACTTAATTAAGGTGTTGGATTCGTGTTTGGCCACGCAGTCGTGGGTGAACAGGGAGTACAGGAGGGGACTAAGCACGCACCACTGAGGGGCCCCAGTGTTGAGGATCAGCGTGGCAGACGTGTTGTTGCCTACCCTTACCACCTGGGGGCGGCCCGTCAGGAATTCCAGGATCCAGTTGCAGAGGGAGGTGTTTAGTCCCAGGGTCCTTAGCTTAGTGATGAGCTTTGTGGGCACTGGTGTTGAACGCTGAGCTGTAGTCAATTAACAGGATTCTCACATAGGTGTTCCTTTTGTCCAGGTGGGAAAGGGCAGTGTGGAGTGCGAACTCGAACATCATATGGAGGAATGTGCCTACCTGATTTAGGGGACACAGTGAACAGTTGGGAGTTGGGGCCAATCTCATCTTAAAACGTGGTGTTAAATACAGTCTGTGAAGGAACGTAACAGTTATAAATTGATGGTTCGGATTACGGGATGCCAAGGTCATATTTTTCCTCATTCTGTTCCAGTTAAAGGTTTGTTCAGATTCAATTAGATCTGTGGACCATACTTTTTTAATGGCTAGCTCAGAATATGAGCTTTCCAAAGTTGTTTATATATTATTAAGATCAGTCCTTTCGGGAGCCCAGATAATTTATTTATAAAGCTGTCCTAAGTTGTAAATATAGAAAAAAATTGATTTGCCCGGTAATGTGTATGTGTCTTTCAAGTCTTGGAATGTTCTCAAACCATTACTGTACATGATATCGGCAAGGGTACGAATTCCACATTTGGACCATTGGGGGGTTGCAAAAGGCCGCCCTCCACATCGCAAGGCGCTATTGTGAAATATTGGAGTATGGGCATGCCATTTTGATTCCCAGTTACATTGTATAGAAATTTTGCGGCAAATAGAAATTGCGTGAGCAATAATAGGACCAAAGCGTAGTTTGGATTGTTTGATTGATATATTAGGGAAGACCACCTCTTCCAGGGCAATAGGAGACACCATATTTATCTCTATATTCAGCCAGGGGATGGAAGAATCATGTCTAAACCAATTTAGGATGGGACGAAATGCTAGTGCCTGGAAATACAATTTAAAGTTTGGTACAGATAGTCCTCCTACGTCTTCCCCCCTTTGAAAGTTTGTTAATTTTATCCGGGCTCGCTTACCTTGCCATATACATTTTTAAACCGCACTATGGATTTAATCCCAACAGCCAGAAGGGGAGACAAGGGAAGCATAGAACTACAGAAATTCAGCCGTGGCAATATATTCATTTTGACAACAGATATTCGTCCGGTTAAAGCAACTGGGATATTAGTCCATCTACTGAGGTCTAATTGAATTGGTTTGAGATTTCCATGTTTTGTAGTAAAAAAGATAGAGGAAGATAAGTGTTTCCAATGACATCATCCAATGTGCATTATGTGATTTTAACCAATTATGAGTAGGTATTGCCTACAAATCTAGTAATTGATTGATAATGTCAATGGAAACATTTAATGTATCTTCCTCTATCTTTTTTACTGCAAAACATGGAAACGCACCATTTTCACATATGTTGATGTTGGGATGGTGCTGGAGATTACAAATATGAAGTTGAACATTTTTGACATTTCCCTTTAAAGTTTTTGACAATGGTTTTATCTAAGGAAGGAAATATATCTATTCCCAAATATTTAAAATGGGATATGATTGGGATTCCATAAGTAGAGATGTAGTCCTGCATCGGGGTCTTGAGGCAGTAGGTCAGATTTGGTTCGATTTATTTTATAACTTGAGATAGAGCTGAAATTGTCTATGATCTTCTGATCTTTTGGGAGGGATTGAAATACATTGTCTAGATAAAGTAAGATATCATCGCCGTATAATGAGATTACATGATCTGTAGAATTGAGAGATATTGGTCTAATTTCTTTTGATTGTCGAATTGCCTGGGCCAGGGGCTCCATAGACAATAAAAATAGCAGAGGTGAGATGGGATCACCTTGCCTGCTACTTCTAGTTATTCTGAGCGGAACATAGCAGGCATTGCCTGTTATTACTATGGCTGAGGGATTGGCATATAGTATTATAATCACATTAATACAATTAGAGCAAAGTCCCATATGTTCCAAAACTGACCAAAGATATGACCATTCTAGTCTATCAAAAGCTTTTTCTATGTCAAGAGATAGAACTGCCCAAGGAGCTTTAGTTTCTGATGAAGCATGTAAGATATGTAATAGACGACAGAGAGTATCTGAGGATAATAGTTTTTTAACAAACTTTGCTTTGGTCCAGATGTACCAACTTCCAGATGGGACGACATAATTTATTTGATCAAAGATAGAGGGCGATAGTGAGAGCACTGGGTGTCCTCCTTACCTTTTTTAAAATAGACCTCAGGAGGAATACCATCACAACCAGGTGATTTTCCTTTATTCATGTTATCCAATGCCCTTTTAAGGTTAATGGAGAGACATGTGGGCTCCCAGCAAGCCAGCTTCCTCAGTTGAGAGAAGTTCTTATTTCTTTTAAAAAATGACTCAATCTGGCTTGGTGTGGATTTACAATCAGAGGTGTAAATTCTTTATAGAAATGGGATCATCTTTGGTTAATTAATTTAGGTTCAGATAGTATTTAACTTGATTCAGATTGAATAGTTGCAATATCCGCTAATTGATCATGACTGCGAAGCGCGTTAGCCAGTAGACGACTGGGTTGGTTACCATGGAAGTAGTGGTTGAGTCTAACTCAATGGATGGCAAATTCTCATCTCTGTCTTATCAATAGATGTAGTTCTGTCTTGACTTTGAAAAGAGTTGCTACCTGGTTTGAAAAAAGTGTTTGTTGAGAACGCTCTAATGTCGTTAGCAACTTTTCCAAATCTGATATCTTCTTGAATTGTGATTTATTCAGCCAAGATGCAAATGCAGTTGCATTGTTTTCAATTAAACCTTTTAATGGGGTCCCATAAAATCCAAGGATCATCGACTGAATTTTTGTGAATCATAATTAATTATTCAATTCAGTTTCAAATTGTTCACAGAAAGTAGAATTTTATAGTAAGGAAACATTAAAGCGCTTTCTTGTGGCTCATTTAGGAGACTCTGAAATGTTTATCTGGCAGTAATAGGCATGATGATCAGATATGCTCATAGGTCGAATTTCTATTTTCTTGATTAAAGAAGATAATAGTATGAAATCAATTCGGGAGAATGTTTTGTGCCTGTTTGAATAGAAAGTGTCCTCTTTTGCTTTAGGGTTATGAGCTCGCCAGGCGTCAATGAGGTTGTAATCAGAGAGTATATGTTGGAGAGCCTTGGTTGCCTATGGATTGTAGTTGGTCTTATTAGATATGTCCAGAATGGCATTTATGTCTGTCCCAATAACTAGTTGGAATTCAGTTAATTCTAACAATATGCTGTTCAAATAATAAAAAACCTGAATATGAATCATATTAATTTGGAGCATACACATTAATAAAGGCACTTTTCTTTTCATTATGGATACATTTAAGGAAAGTGATTCTACCTTGGTCTTCGCCTTTACCCAAGATGGTGATTTTGAGTTAATTATGATTACAACTTTAGCTTTGTTTGGGGCTGATGAAAAAGCAGCCAGTTTGTCCTTTTGCATGTCCTTTTGGAGCAGATGGATTTCTTGGAACATTACTATATCAATGTGGTTTCTTGCTAGGATATCAAGATAGCGGGAACGTTTAATTGGTGAGTTTAGGCCTTTCACATTCCAAGAGTGAATAGCTAGCATTGCCATAAAAAATAAGGATTATTAATGATGTAATTATTATCTTCAGTGTTAATAAGCCCATGGATATAAAACAAAAAGCAGGACCTACACCCATTGGTCATTCCCCACCCATTTTTTTTTTTTGGGTGGGAGCTTTTCTTTAGTCTAAGAAAAACTAGAATATCCTCATTTTTATTAGCAATATGGTCTAAATTAGCTTAAACATAGGAAGAAAGAAAAAAAAACAAGCAAAAAGGAATTGTGTGGAAGCCCATATGGGACTGGCTATCTATCGTAAGGAGTTTAATCCATAGGGATGCAATGTGCTGTAGCCCCACAAGGAAGCAGCCCCAGTCTGTATAGCACTTCATTGTATGGCACTTCAATATATTATCCATTGTTCATTAATTGGCGTGGAGTCATCAATGTCTAAATGTCCTGGAACATAGACAATATAATAACAACGAAGTCCAATGTTCAGCATTAATAAAAATAGTGTTCCTTTTACCCAATTGAGAGGGCTTCCTCATCGTTGTCCTATGGCAGCATCACAGCCATAGCGTGATTGTGTGTGGATAGCAAACCTGAATATTGAGCCAGCCGAATTGGGGTTAGCCTAGATCTGTCAGCTCGTCACTTTGTGTGTTGGACTAGATGTGCTTATCGAAGAAGTCTTTAGCTTCCTTGGCAGTAGAAAATGTGTGTGTTGTATTCTGGAAGGGAAAGATATGTTTTGTCGGGTGGATGAAGGTTTAGCTCGCGTAGCTGGGATCTCACCTCTTTGTGGATCTCCCTCTGTTTTAGCAGTTCGGCACACAGGTCTGGGTAGATGCTGATCCACTTCCCTACATACAGTACCAGTCAAAAGTTTGGACACATTCTCATTCAAGGGTTTTTCTTTATTTTTACTATTTTCTACATTGTAGAATAATAGTGAAGACATCAAAACTATGAAATAACACATGGAATCATGTAGTAAGCAAAAAAGTGTTAAACAAATCAGATTCTTCAAATAGCCACCTTTTGCCTTGATGACTGCTTTGCACACTATTGGCGTTCTCTCAACCAGCTTCGCCTGGAATGCTTTTCCAACAGTCTTGAAGGAGTTCCCACATATGCTGAGCACTTGTTGGCTGCTTTTCCTTCACTCTGCGGTCCGACTCATCCCAAACCATCTCAATTGGGTGGAGGTTGGGGGATTGTGGAGGCCAGGTCATCTGATGCAGCACTCCATCACTCTCCTTCTTGGTAAAATAGCCCTTACACAGCCTGGAGGTGTGTTGGGTAATTGTCCTGTTGAAAAACAAATGATAGTCCCACTAAGCCCAAACCAGATTGGATGGCGTATCACTGCAGAATGCTGTGGTAGCCATGCTGGTTAAGTGTGCCTTGAATTCTAAATAAATCACAGACAGTGTCACCAGCAAAGCACCCCCACACCATAACACCACCTCCTCCATGCTTTACGGTGGGAGATACACATGCAGAGATCATCCGTTCACCCACACCGCGTCTCACAAAGACACGGCGGTTGGAACCAAAAATCTCCAATTTGGATTCCAGACCAAAGGACTAATGTCCATTGCTCATGTTTCTTGGCCAAAGCAAGTCTCTTCTTCTTATTGGTGTCCTTTAGTAGTGGTTTATTTGCAGTAATTAAACCATGAAGGCCTGATTCACACAGTCTCCTCTGAACAGTTGATGTTGAGATGTGTCTGTTACTTGAACTCTGTGAAGCATTTATTTGGGCTGCAATTTCTGAGGCTGGTAACTCTAATGAACTTATTCTTTGCAGCAGAGGTAACTCTGGGTCTTCCATTCCTGTACCGGTCCTCATGAGAGCCAGTTTCATCATAGCGCTTGATGTTTTTTGCCACTGCACTTGAAGAAACTTTCAAAGTTCTTGAAATGTTCCGTATTGACTGACCTTCGTGTCCAAAGTAATGATGGACTGTTGTTTCTATTGCTTATTTGAGCTGTTCTTGACATAATATGGACTTGGTCTTTTACCAAATAGGGCTATCTTCTGTATACCCACCTACCTTGTCACAACACAACTGATTGGCTCAAAAGCATTAAGAAGGAAAGAAATTCCACAAATTAACTTTTAAGAATGCACATCTGTTAATTGAAATGCACTCCAGGTGACTATCTCATGAACCTGGTTGAGAGAATGCCAAGTGTGTGCAAAGCTGTCATCAAGGCAGAGGGTGGCTATTTGAAGAATCTCAAATATAAAATATATTTTGATTTAACACTTTGTTGGTTACTTTATGATTTCATATGTGTTATTTCATAGTTTTGATGTCTTCACTATTATTCTACAATGTAAAAATATAGAAAAAGCCTTGAATGAGTAGGTGTGTCCAAACTTTTGACTGCTAGTGTAGGTCAGACCCCTGGATTAGTTTGCAAATCGAACAATTCACGGCTTGACTGCAAAGCTGTGGATCCGTACAATCATACACAAGATCCATTCTGGAGAGGACCTGTGCGACGCGCAATGTTAATCAGTGGCATGGGACCCAGCTTCTCCTGCCCAGACAGTTCATAGAAAAGATTGCTCATGAAGGAAGTTGGGTTGCCCGCTTCCACAACAGTTTCAAGTCCTGTAACCCGCACATTGAATTACATCTTCTCTTTTAGGAGTTTGATTATCCCTTCCAACCTAGTTTGCGCTGTTTCCAAGTCTGTCGCATTGGCTATCCTCTCCAGACTTTTCACTTCGGATAGCTATCCACTTTAGCAGTGATCACTGCCAATGATTCATTTACCGGTTTTAATTGTAAATCGAGGGCAGAGGTAATCTCTTCAAGAACAATCTCTCGTATAGTACCGGCCAGCTCTTTCTGTTGTCTGGTATTGAGAGACGCCATGTTCCCACAGCTGAATTGTGGACTGACAAATTCTAGCTCCTTGAGCATAGTAGACCTGCTAGTTATTTCTTTTTACAATATTTATTTATTTATTTTATTTTATTTGGATCCCCATTAGCTGTTGCGAAAGCCGCAGCTACTCTTCCTGGGGTCCACACAAAACATGAAACATTACATAATACAGAACATTAATAGACAAGAACAGCTCAAGGACAGAACTATATACATTTTAAAACGGCACACATAGCCTACATATCAATACGTACACACAACATTTTAAAACCAGGTTTGCTGTTCATTTGAGCAATATGATATGGAAGGGAGTTCAATGCAATAATGGCTCTATATAATACTGTACACTTTCTTGAATTTGTTCTGGATTTGGAGACTATGAAAAGACCCCTGGTGGCATGTCTGGCAGTGTAAGTGTGTGTGTCAGAGCTGTGCATTAGTTGACTATATAAACAATTTGTAATTTTCAACACAATATGTTTCTTATGAAAAGAAGAAGTAATGCAGTCAGTCTCTCGTCAATTCTTAGCCAAATAGAGACTGGCATGCTTAGTATGTATAGTAGCCTTCTGATTACAATGAAGAGCAAGATGTGCTGCTTTGATCTGGGCCAGCTGCAGCTTAACTAGGTCTTTCTTAGCAGCACTTGACCACATGGCTGGACAAGAATCAAGATAATACACAACTAGAGCCTGCAGGACTTGCTATGTGGAGTGCTGTGTCAAAAAAACATCTCGTCATTACGGACAGACCTCTCCCCATCTTTACAACCATTTAATCTATATGTTTTGACATGACAGTTTACAATCTAAGATTACACCAAGTAATTTAGTCTCCTCAACTTGTTCAACAACCACACCATGCATTACCAGATTCAGCTGAGGTCTAGAGCAATGATTTGTACCAAATACAATGCTCTTAGTTTTAGAGATGTTCAAGGCCAGTTTATTACTGGCCACTCATTCCAAAACTGACTGCAACTCTTTGTTAAGGGTTTCAGTGACTTCATTAGCTGTGGTAGCTGAGACATATGGTTGAATCATCAGCATACATGGACACACAGGCTTTGTTTAATGCCAGTGGCATGTCATTGGTAAAAATATAAAAAAGTAGAGGGCCTAGAGAACTGCCCTGCGGTACACCACACCCTACATGTTTGACATTAGAGACGCTTCCATTAAATGAAAACGCTCTGAGTTCTATTAGATGGATGGCTCTGAATCCACGATATGGCAGAAGTTGAAAAGGCATTAAAAATAACAGGTTATGGTCAATAATATCAAAGGCTGCACTGAAATCTAACAGTACAGCTCCCACAGTCTTCTTATTATCAATTTCTTTCAACCAATCATCAGTTATTTGTGTCAGTACAATACATGTTGAGTGCCCTTCTCTATAAGCATGCTGAAAGTCTGTTGTCAATTTGTTTACAGAGAAATAGCATTGTATTTGGTCAATACAATTTTTTCCAACAGTTTGCTAAGAGCTGGCAGCAAGCTGATTGGGTCTGCTGTTAGAACCAGTAAAGGCCGCTTTACCACTCTTGGGTAGCGGAATGAGTTTGGCTTCCCTCCAGGCCTGTGGAAAAACCTTCCTCTAGACTCAGATTAACGATATGACAGATAGGAGTGGCCATAGTCAGCTACCATCCTCAGTAGCCTTCCATCTAAATTGTCAATGCCAGGAGGTTTGTCATTATTGATCGATAACAATAATTTTTCCACCTGTCACACACTAACTTTACAGAATTCAAACTTACAATGCTTTTCATTCATTTTGTTTATTTTATTTTATTCATGAATACGATGGCTCACTGTTCGTTGTTGGCATTTCCTGCTTAAGTTTGCCCACTGTGCCAATGAAGTAATCATTAAAATAATTGGCAACATCAAATGGTTTTGTGATGAATAAGCCATCAGATTCAATGAAAGATGGAGTTGAATTTCCATCATTCTTTATATCATTGATCTTGGCTTCATAATACCATTTATTCTTCTTTTTGTTAAGTTTAGTCACATAATTTCTCAATTTGCAGTAAATCAGCCAGCCAGATGTGCAGCCAGACTTATTAGCCACTCCTTTTGCCCAATCTCTTTCAACCATACAGTTTTTCAATTCCTCATCAACCCATGGAGCCTTAACAGTTCTAATTAACGTCCCACACCTTAATATGATGTTTAATATTGACAAGTTTTAGGAAATACGTCCGTTAATTCATAGTCATTTGCAAAAGAGGAACATAATATGACAGAATTAATAAAATCAAGTGAAATGACAGAGGAAGGTATATTGCTGCTGAGCCCATGAAAGACAAAATGTAATACACTATGACAGGGATTAGTCATTTGTTAGCACCTGACATACCAGCATCACTGGAGAATAGCAAAACATCAGAGAGAAATTAACAGCCATTTGGCATTCTAGATATCATTGTCTTTAGTAATGGACTTGGGTGTCAACCAATTAATTATTTTGTTCATAGCATAAGCTCACAGTATGGGCTTGTTTTAACCATTGGACTGACTATGGGTCAGTAGTAATAGCCCTGATAATATTACCATGTTTAGTGTTAAACCTGACTTATGGCAAGTGCTTAAAGCTCACCTGGTGTTGAGCGGCTGGATGTGAATGGTGCTGAGCTCCTGCAGGTTATGATGAGGGTGTGTGTGTGTGAGGGGGTGTGTGAGAGCGCACGTGGGCATACTGGAGTTGGGTAAAGGGGCGTGGTTCCTCTTGGAGCGGCGGGTACAGCAGGTGCCCGTCATGCCTTCTTGGCTGGAGAGGGAGGGGCTTTGAGACGGGTAGCTCTGGAGTGCCCCCTCCAGGTAGCTCTGCTCATAACACTGCTCATCTGCAAACTCATGATTCTACAGAGAGGGGAGAGAGAGAGAGGGGAGAGAGAGAGGGGGAAGATAGGGGGAGAGAGTGGGAAGAGAGAGGGGAAGAGAAAGGGAAGAGAGAGGGGAGAGTGGGAGAGAAGGAGAGGGGAGAGTTGAGGAGAAAGGGGGGAGAGAGCGAGGAGCGAGTTTGAGGCGTTTTCGGTCGATTTGTGTGTGTTCTCTTTGTTGGCGGGTCTCTCATTTGTTTGCTCGTTTTCGGGTTGTCGTCTCTTGGTTCTTTTATGCTTTCTTTTGGCTCGTTTTTGGTGGTGCGAGGCTTGTTTTTCTCGCTCGCTCTCAATTTGTTCTCTCGCTCTCGCTCGTCTTGTCGCGGCTGCTCCACGTCCCTGAAAGAGAAGAGTAGGGACATCTGAAAAACACATCATTTATCTCAAATTCATGTCCATTGGGGTTGGTAGCATTCTGTGTTGAACCCAGGCTTGTTCACTACAGGACCCAGTGTTCTTCTATAAGGCATCATTACATGCCCGCTGCTCTAGCCTGAAATTGACAATTCCTTATAGTAGTATGGACAAGACCCTATCTAATCTCAGCCTGTACATCAGATGAACATGCCACTATTGCCCATGGAAGACCCAGTGTGTCGGACAGCATATTACAGCAGAATGCTCAGTGCTAGTTCAATGTTCACGGTATTGAAGTAAACTGGAAACATGTTGCAATATTATTTTACAGTTGATAAGAAACAAAAGATATTTAACATTGAGTTTTTTTCTTGTTTTATGTGCTTGTCAGTGAAGTGTGTGTTTATGTTTGTACTCACCATGGTTTTGTGTGTGTGTGTGTACATGTACTCACTGTGTTTATTTTTTAAAATCTTTTTCTCCCCAATTGGTAGTTAGTCTTGTTCCATCGCTGCAACTCCTGTACGGACTCGGGAGAGGCGAAGGTCGAGAGCCATGCGTCCTCCAAAACACGACCCTGCCAAGCCGCACTGCTCGCTTAACCCGGAAGCCAGCCGCACCAATGTGTCGGAGGAAACACCGTACAACTGGCGACCAAAGTCAGCGTGCATGCGCCCGGCCCGCCACACGGAGTCGGCTAGAGCATGATGGGTCAAGGATATCCCGGCCGCCCAAACCCTCACCTAACCCGGACGACGCTGGGCCAATTGTGTGCCGCCTCAAGGGTCTCCCGGTCGCGGCCGGCTGCGACACATCCCAGGATCGAACCCGGGTCTGTAGTGACGCTTCAAGCACTGCGATGCAGTGCCTTAGACCGCAGCGCCACTCGGGAGGCCCTCACCGTGGTTTTTTGTGTGTGTACTCACTGTGGTTTTTTGTGTGTGTGTGTACTCACTGTGTTTTTTTGTGTGTGCGTGTGTACTCACTGTTGTTGTTTTTGTGTGTGTGTGTGTGTGTAATCACTGTGGTTGTGTGTGTGTGTGTGTGTGCTCACTGTGGTTTTCTCCAGACAATGCAGCAGGTGGTGGTGTTGGCTCTCTAATAGAGACTGGTTCTTGTTCAGCTGCTGCTCCTCCTCAATGGAACTCTGCAACACACACACACACACACACACACACACACACACACACACACACACACACAAAGCCACTGTGAGTGAAATGCTCCACATTGATGTGCGCCAACAGATCGAGGGGTTTAGTAGGTGTTGTATGTGGCTGTTTGCTGGCTCTGTACCTGGTCTGAAAGGTTCATCTTGTAAGGAAGTTGCTTCAGGTCAAAGGTGAAAGAGGAGACAAAAAGACACACAGGTAGAGTTTTACTAGGTTTTCATTTCAGTATATTGAATGCTCAGTGTTCAGGCTGGAGGCCACAGTCATGTCAATCACAAGGTCTGGGCCAGAAAGGCAATACTACCCAGGGCAGTAGACAATATATCTGTTTACACCGGACTGGAGAATTTCAGCACACTTTACAAACATATAGAAATATTCACTGTTACATTGTTTACCCATCTCCTCTCTCTCTCTCTCTCTCTCTCTCTCTCTCTCTCTCTCTCTCTCTCTCTCTCTCTCTCTCTCTCTCGATCGATCGATGGATAATGTCTAGTTAATTAGTTGTTTTTCCTGAATGCTCCTGTGTTTGTGTGTGTGTGTGAGGGAGGGAGAGAGTGTGAGTGTAAGTGTGGGAGTGCAAGTGGTTTGTTCTTTCTTTGCTGGGGCACGACACTCTCTTCTCTGAGCAGCGTGGTGAGTCAGAGAGTGTCTGAGTGGGCTGCTGCTGGCTATAGCTCTGGACTGCTGCTGGCTATAGCTCTGGACTGCTGCTGGCTATAGCTCTGGACTGATGCTGCTGGCTATAGCTCTGGACTGATGCTGCTGGCTATAGCTCTAGACTGATGCTGCTGGCTATAGCTCTGGACTGCTGCTGGCTATAGCTCTGGACTGCTGCTGGCTATTGCTCTGGACTGATGCTGCTGGCTATAGCTCTGGACTGATGCTGCTGGCTATAGCTCTGGACTGATGCTGCTGGCTATAGCTCTGGATGCTGCTGGCTAAGCTCTGACTGCTGCTGCTATAGCTCTGGACTGATGCTGCTGGCTATAGCTCTGGACCCGATGCTGCTGCTATAGCTCTGGACTGCTGCTGGCTATAGCTCTGGACTGATGCTGCTGGCTATAGCTCTGGACTGCTGCTGGCTATAGCTCTGGACTGCTGCTGGCTATAGCTCTGACTGCTGCTGGCTATAGCTCTGGACTGCTGCTGGCTATGCTCTGGACTGCTGCTGCTATAGCTCTGGACATGCTGCTGGCTATGCTCTGGACTGCTGCTGGCTATAGTCTGGCTGCTGGCTGCTCTGATGCTCTGGACTGTGCTGGCTATAGCTCTGGACTGATGCCTGGCTATAGCTCTAGAATGCTGCTGCTGGCTATAGCTCTGGACTGATGCTGCTGGCTAAGCTCTGGACTGATGCTGCTGGCTTAAGCTCTGGACTGATGCTGCTGGATAGCTCTGGACTGCTCTGGCTATAGCTCTGGACTGCTGCTGGCTATAGCTCTGGAGCTGGCTATAGCTCGGCTATTGCTGGAGCTTGGATGCTGCTGGCTAGCTCGGTACGATGCTGTGCTACCTGGACTGCTGCTGGCTATAGCTCTGGACTACTGCTGGCTATAGCTCTGGACTGATGGCTGGCTATAGCTCTGGACTGCTGCTGGCTATAGCTCTGGACTGCTGCTGGCTATAGCTCTGAAACTGATCTGCTGGCTATAGCTCTAGACTGCTACGGCTATAGCTCTGGACTGCTGCTGACTATAGCTCTGGACTTGCTGCTGCTATAGCTCTGGACTGTGCTGCTGGCTATAGCTCTGGACTGATGCTGCTGGCTATGCTCTGCTGTATGCTGGCTATTAGCTCTGGATGCTCTGGACTGCTGGCTATAGCTCTGGACTGATGCCTGGCTATAGCTCTGGACTGATGCTGGCTATAGCTCTGGACTGATGCTGGCTATAGCTCTGGACTGATGCTGGGCTATAGCTCTGGACGATGCTGCTGGCTATAGCTCTGGACTGATGCTGCTGGCTATAGCTCTGGACTGATGCTGCTGGCTATAGCTCTGGACTGCTGCTGGCTATAGCTCTGGACTGCTGCTGGCTATAGCTCTGGACTGCTGCTGGCTATAGCTCTGGACTGCTGCTGGCTATAGCTCTGGACTGCTGCTGGCTATAGCTCTGGACTGCTGCTGGCTATAGCTCTGGACTGATGCTGCTGGCTATAGCTCTGGACTGCTGCTGGCTATAGCTCCTGACTGCTGCTGGCTATAGCTCTGGACTGATGCTGCTGGCTATAGCTCTGGGCTGCTGCTGGCTATAGCTCTGGACTGCTGCTGGCTATAGCTCCTGACTGCTGCTGGCTATAGCTCTGGACTGCTGTGCTAATGCTCTGACTGCTGCTGGCTATAGCTCTGGCTGACGCTGCTGGCTATGCTCTGGGCTGCTGCTGGCTATAGCTCTGGGCTGCTGCTGGCTATAGCTCTGGACTGCTGCTGGCTATAGCTCTGGACTGCTGCTGGCTATAGCTCTGGACTGCTGCTGGCTATAGCTCCTGACTGCTGCTGGCTATAGCTCTGGGCTCTGGGCTGAGGGAGCAGGAGCAACAGCCTAGAGGGCCAGACGGCTAGGTGTTTGGCTCAAACGTTGATTAATGTTTATTCTAATGTTGATAAATGTATGTCAACTACATAAATAAATTAGTATGTCAAAATTAAGTATAAGGATGCGTGTTTGGTCTGTAGTATACCTAAGGCTAGATATAGAGGGGTAGAAGGCCTCTGAATGTCAGTCAGAGAAAATGGGGGGAGGTCTTTGCTCCAGATACGTGTAACAGGGGTGAAATGGCTAGCTAGTTAGCACCACGCTAGTAGCGTTTCAATAGGTGCCGTGACTCGCTCTGAGACCTTAAAGTAGTTGTTTCCCTCTGCAAGGGCCACGACTATTGTGGAGCGATAGGTAATGATGCTTCGTGGGTGACTGTTGTTGATGTGTTCAGAGGGTCCCTGATTCAAGCCCAGGTTGGTGCAAGGAGAGGGACGGACGCAACACTGTTACGTACGCATACTGTATACTTTCACTGGGTTGCATCAGTCAGGGCTGACAGCACAGCACACTGCAATCCCTGACAAACCCCTTTGTTTGGCTTGTTAAAATGCATAAACATCAAACCACCTAAAATCTACCCCTACTATTTTTTTTTCTTTTATCGCTGAATACAATACAGCCTTTAATCATTTTAACGTTTAGTTTCCCAACCTGGACTCAGTGGTAGATGCAATATAGTAAATGGAAATCCAGGACACTCCAATTAGTATGATATGTTACGTTTCGTATGGTACAGTGCCTTCAAAAGTATTCACACCCCTTGACTTTTTCCACATTTTGTTGTGTTGCAGCCTGATTTTAAAATGTATTAAATTGAGATTTCGAGTCACTGGCCTATACACAATACCCCATAATGTCAAGGTGGAATTATGTTTTTAGAAAATAAAAAAGTTATAAAAAAATTAAAAGCTGAAATGTGTTGAGCCAATAAGTATTCAGCCCCCTTGTTAGGGCAAGCCTAAATAAATTCAGGAGTAAAAATGTGCTTAACATTTTACATTTACATTTTAGTCATTTAGCAGACGCTCTTATCCAGAGCGACTTACAGTTAGTGAGTGCATACATTATATATATATATATATATATATATATATATATATATTTTTTTTTTCATACTGGCCCCCCGTGGGAATCGAACCCACAACCCTGGCGTTGCAAACGCCATGCTCTACCAACTGAGCTACATCCCTGCTGGCCATTCCCTCCCCTACCCTGGACGACGCTGGGCTAATTGTGCGCCAATTGTGCGCCGCCCCAAGTCACATAATAAGTTGCATGGACTCACTCTTGTGTGCAATAATAGTGTTTACCTTGATTTTTTAATGACTAACTCATCTCTGTACCCCACATATACAATTATCTGTAAAGTCCCTCAGTCAAGCAGTGAATTTCAAACCACAAAGACCAGGGAGGTTTTCCAATCCCTCACAAAGAAGGGCACCAATTGGTAGACACTAAATATCCCTTTGAGCATGGTGACGTTATTAATTACACTTTGGATGGTGTATCAATACACCCATTCACTACAAAGATATAGGCGTCTTTCCTAACTCAGTTGCCGGAGAGGACGGAAATCGCTCAGGGACTTCACCATGAGGTCAATAGTGACTTTAAAACAGTTACAGAGTTTGATGGCTGTGATAGGAGAAAACTGAGGATGGATCAACAACATTGTAGTTACTCCACAATACTAACCTAAATGACAGAGTGAAAAGAAGGAAGCCTGTACAGAATACAAATATTCCAAAACATGCATCCTGTTTGCAATAAGGCACTAAAGTAAAACTGCAAAAAATGTGGCAAAGAAATTAACTTTATGTCGCGAATACAAAGAGTTATGTTTGGGGCAAACACATCACTGAGTTCCACTCTTCATATTTTCAAGCATGGTGGTGGCTGCATCATGTTATGGGTATGCTTGTCATCGGCAAGGACTAGGGAGTAAAAAAAATAAAAAATAAAAAACAGAATAGAACTATGCACAGGAAATATTCTAGAGGAAAACCTGGTTCAGTCTGCTTTCCAACAAATTCACCTTTCAGCAGGACAATAACCTACAACACAAGGCCAAATATACACTGGAGACGACATTGAATGTTCCGGAGTGGCCTAGTTACAGTTTTGATGTAAATCGGCTTGAAAATCTATGGCAAGACTTAAAAATGTCTGTCTAGTAATGATCAACAACCAACTTGACAGAGCTTGAAGAATTTTAAAAAGAATAATATGCAAATGTTGCACTATCCAGGTGTGGAAAGCACTTAGAGACTTACACAGAAAGACTTGCAGGTATAATCGCTGCCAAAGGTGATTCTAACATGTATTGACTCAGGGGTGTGAATACTTATGTACATTTTATATTTCTGTATTTCATTTTCAATACATTTGCTAAAATTACTAAAAACATGTTTTCACTTTGCCATTATGGGGTATTGTGTGTAGATGGGTGAGCAAAACATTTATTCAATCCATATTTGAAATCAGACTGTTACGCAACAAAATGTGGAATAAGTCAAAGGGTATGAATACTTTCTGAATGCACTGTATGTATTAATTTGTGGATGTCCATATTCCATTTCGTATGATATGTTACGAATTACAATTCATACAAAATGTTACGAATTGCAATTTGTATAATATGTTACGGATTTGCTAAACATATGATATGTTACGAATTCCAATTTGTTGTGGCTAAACCTAGCTAGGTGGCTACGTGGTTTAATGCTAACGTTAGCTAGGTGGCTAACGTTAGCTAGGCTAGGGGTTAAGGTTAGAAGTTAGGTTAAAGCAGGGCTCTCCAACCCTGTTCGTGGAGAGCTACCCTCCTGTAGGTTTTCGCACCAACCCCAGTTGTAACTAACCTGATTCAGCTTATCAACCAGCTAATTATTAGAATCAGGTGCGCTCTATACACCCACCCATCCTCCCCGACTAACCGTCCTACTTTCGTTTTTTGCCTTAAGTAACCTTCTGTCTTATGTAACCATACCAAACGTAACATATCATACTAATTTGAGTGTTCCGAATTGAGTCCATGAGACCGGGCTGAGTTTCCACCATGTCTGCTGTGTGTTATTATGTAGTTCCCTCCTCCCCTGTGTATGTGAGCAGTGCTGCAGCACATGTTTCTATGTGCTGTGGGGGAGAGTTCACCTGAACAGTGCTGAGCTACAGTACACAGACACAGCTATTTCTGGTTCTGTCCTACTCATTACTAAAGACTAAAGCCAAAGAATCAGCAGGCTGTGTGAGGCATGGGAGGTTGGTGGCACCTTAATTGGGGAGGACGGGCTCGTGGTAACGGCTGGAGCGGAATAGGTGGAATGGTATCAAATACAACAAACACATGGTTTGATGCCATTCCATTGGCTCCGTTCCAGCCATTATTATGAGCCGTCCTCCCCTCAGCAGCCTCCACTGGTGTGAGGGCTGCTGTGAATCACCCAGGTGGCTGGTCCATTATCTACACTACAGGCAGGTTGGGAACCAGGTGACGCTGCATAATACACTGACACAATGTACTAATCTTCTGTGTGGTGCAGATGTATCGAAGGTCTGCTGGCTTTAACCCTGTGACTTCAACGACATCGTTTTGCTTGGGACCTAAAGTAACCAGAGCTGGTGGAGGCACAGTCAAATCCCAGTACAATTCATGGGTGTATAGAAGGATAAGCTATACATTCAGAAACGGAGACAGCTAAATTGTCCTTGTGTTTTGGTGTATCTCAGCCCAGAGAAGAGAGGAGAGGAAAGGAGAGGAGGAACATGTGTTTACATGTCTGCTAGCCTGGATCCCAGCTGAGCACCAAGATGTTCAAATTAACACTACGGCATATTTAACAGGACTGCATTTAGCTGTTCTCAGAAGCCAGGCCAGGCCCTGTTTGAATAAAGACATCTCTCTCCTTACTGCCTTGAGGAAGTAACTGATCTGATAAGGTTGGATTGGGGAATGTAGTAACCTTATTTTGATCTATCCCATAAGTTATGAGTCAATGATTAACTCAAGGAGACGGAAGAAGGACGCAATCTATAAAGTGTTCAATGAAGTGCAGTCAAAGCGTGATTATATGAGCTGGTACTTGAGAGAGGCAGGAGTCTGTCCCACGGGGTAAAGTGTCACTCCAATGTACGCACACGTTCAGGGCAAACATACAGCATTCTACTGTTGTGACTGGGCTGGCTTGTAGAGAGGGCCTTTGTGAGTTAAAGGTTAAAGGTCGTGTGGTGTGAGTCTTTTAGTTATTTGAGTCCAGAAGTGTTGTGAAGAGGGATGCTATCGATTAATTAGACTAGTACATTTTACATTTTAGTCATTTAGCAGACGCTCTTATCCAGAGCGACTTACAGTTAGTGAGTGCATACATATTTTATTTTATTTTTCATACTGGCCCCCCGTGGGAATCGAACCCATAACCCTGGCGATGCAAACGCCATGCTCTACCAACTGCGCTACATCTCTGCCAGCCATTCCCTCCCCTACCCTGGACGACTTGTGCGCCACTCCATGGGTCTCCCGGTCGCGGCCGGCTACAACAGAGCCTGGATTCGAACCAGGATCTCTAGTGGCACAGAGCCTGGATTCGAACCAGGATCTCTAGTGGCACAGCCCACTGCACCACTAGGGAGGCCCAGTCAGTGGTGGTTGTATTGAGTGTTTTCTTACCGTGAGCTCCAAGGTGTCGCTGAAGAGGCCATTCCGTTTGCTGTGGAGGAAGGCATTGGAGCTTCCTGTCTTGGATATTCGTATCCTGGCCAGACGGGCTTTCTGGAAGACAGAGAAACCATGGAAACCAAAGATCAGTCCCCTCCCACCACCAACCAGGTTAAATCAAAAAGGCTAAATCCTAGCCTGAGTTAGGCATGCACAGCTCAAACGTTTGGTGCAAAACTGATATCAATGCATGCACACAAAAACACATATTAGGAGGGTAATGTTACCTTGTATTTTCTGAGTCTGTGTTTCTTGTGTAATAGACTTGCTGAATTGCGCCTTGAAATGCATTGCTTTTGTTTATGTAGAATAAATCAATGAAATGTCCAGTGCCTTAAAGCACTACATCTACAACCCTAACCAACCAACCCTAACCAACCAACCCTAACCAACCAACCCTAACCAACTGTGTTTGTCTGTCTGCATACATCTCTTCTCATCTACAGGAGACACAGTATAAGGAGGATTGGTGTTTCCACCTCATGTTGTGGGCAGTGTGCACATAGCCTGTCTTCTCTTGAGAGCCAGGTCTGCCTACGGCGGCCTTTCTCAATAGCAAGGCTATGCTCACTGAGTCTGTACATAGTCAAAGATTTCCTTAAGTTTGTGTCAGTCACAGTGGTCAGGTATTCTATTCTGCCACTGTGTACTCTCTGTTTAGGGCCAAATAGCATTCTAGTTTGCTCTGTTTTTTAATCAATTCTTTCCAATGTGTCAAGTAATTATCTTTTAGTTTTCTCGTGATTTGGTTGGGTCTCTCTCTCTCTCTCTCTCTCTCTCTCTCTCTCTCTCTCTCTCTCTGTCTCTCTCTCTCTCCAACCACTCATGTCAAGGACAGAGACAGAGGGACAAAAGAAGGAGAACATAGAAAGTGAAAGAAGGAACAAAAGAAGAAAATGTGGAGCTCTGAGTGATTTGTCAATGTGGAGCTCTGAGTGATTTGTCAATGTGGAGCTCTGAGTGATTTGTCAATGTGGAGCTCTGAGTGATTTCTCAATGTGGAGCTCTGAGTGATTTGTCAATGTGGAGCTCTGAGTGATTTGTCAATGTGGAGCTCTGAGTGATTTGTCAATGTGGAGCTCTGAGTGGTTTCTCAATGTGGAGCTCTGAGTGATTTCTCAATGTGGAGCTCTGAGTGATTTGTCAATGTGGAGCTCTGAGTGATTTGCCAATGTGGCGCTCTGAGTGATTTCTCAATGTGAAGCTCTGAGTGATTTCTCAATGTGGCGCTCTGAGTGATTTGTCAATGTGGCGCTCTGAGTGATTTGTCAATGTGAAGCTCTGAGTGATTTCTCAATTTGGAGCTCTGAGTGATTTCTCAATGTGGAGCTCTGAGTGATTTGTCAATGTGGCGCTCTGAGTGATTTCTCAATGTGATGCTCTGAGTGATTTCTCAATGTGGCGCTCTGAGTGATTTCTCAATGTGGAGCTCTGAGTGATTTCTCAATGTGGAGCTCTGAGTGATTTCTCAATGTGGCGCTCTGAGTGATTTGTCAATGTGGCGCTCTGAGTGATTTCTCAATGTGATGCTCTGAGTGATTTCTCAATGTGGCGCTCTGAGTGATTTCTCAATGTGGAGCTCTGAGTGATTTCTCAATGTGGAGCTCTGAGTGATTTCTCAATGTGGCGCTCTGAGTGATTTGTCAATGTGGCGCTCTGAGTGATTTGTCAATGTGATGCTCTGAGTGATTTCTCAATGTGATGCTCTGAGTGATTTCTCAATGTGGCGCTCTGAGTGATTTCTCAATGTGGCGCTCTGAGTGATTTCTCAATGTGATGCTCTGAGTGATTTCTCAATGTGGCGCTCTGAGTGATTTCTCAATGTGGAGCTCTGAGTGATTTCTCAATGTGGAGCTCTGAGTGATTTCTCAATGTGGCGCTCTGAGTGATTTGTCAATGTGGCGCTCTGAGTGATTTCTCAATGTGATGCTCTGAGTGATTTCTCAATGTGGCACTCTGAGTGATTTCTCAATGTGGCGCTCTGAGTGATTTCTCAATGTGGCGCTCTGAGTGATTTCTCAATGCGTCAATAAGAAACAATACACAAAGTCTGCTTGCAAAAGGTCTGACGAGTTTCAGCTCAGACAAGCTGGCCAGCATTCTCAATCTTGTTTATGCTCCCTGAGAGAGGTATTAAGTGGAGAGGTACTTGCACTCCCTCCTCCTCTCCATACTCCTCTCCTTCTCTTTTGCTCTCATTCCTCTCACTCTTATAATATTTTTTTCCTCTCAATCTGTTGCCTCTCTCTCTTTTTTTGTTTCTCTCCTAGCCTCTCTCTGCCCCTCTCTCTAATACCCATGCTCCTTTGTGCCAGCTTAGACATCCCAGAGGTCTCTAGGATGACCCTCGTCTCGCTCTGAGCTCAGCCAATGAGATCGGCTCTCTGGGGTCACAAGGTAAACACTCCCAGCCACCATGGAAATGGTTGCTGGGGGTAATGGAGGAGGTGTGAAAACATACCCTGCTAGAATCTATCCACTTTTATCGAGAGCGAGAGCGGGGTTGGTAGGGAGGGGGCAGAGAGATTGAGGAAGAGAGAGAGGGAGGAGAGAGCGAGAAAGAGAGAGGGGGGGGGGGGGGGGGGAGAGGAGGGAGGGAGAGAGAGTGGTGGGAAGAAAATAGAGAGGGAGGAAAGAGAGAGAGAGAGTATTTAGGGCCACTGGGACCCAGAACCTGTGTCTCTGGTCCAAATGTGCTCTCAGACAGTGCAGAGAGGCAGGACAAACTGAGGCTGGATGCGGCTGAAGACATGAGAAAACACAGGAGGGAATGACAGCAGAGGGGCAGGAGACAAGCTTAAATTGTCATGTGTTGTGGGTATCTCAGCCCAGAGAAGAGAGGAGAGGAAAGGAGAGGAGGAACATGTGTTTACAGTCTGCTAGCCTGGATCCCAGCTGAGCACCAAGTCGTTCAAAGAACACTACGGAATATTTAAACAGGATGCATTTAGATGTTCTCAGAAGCCAGGCAGGCCCGTTTTGAAAAGACATCTCTCTTCCTTACTGCCACTTGAGACGTAACATATCTGATTAAGGTTGGATTGGGGAAAAATGTTAGTAACCGTAGTTTGATCTATCCCATAAGTTAGAGTCCAATGATTAACTCAAGGAGACGGAAAGGAAGAAGGACACAATCTATAAAGTGTTCAATTGAAAGGCAGTCTCAAAGCGTTGATGGATATGAGCTCTGGTACTTGAGAGGAGGCAGCGGAGCTGTCACCACGGGGGTAAGTGTCACTCCAATGTACGCACACGTTCAGGGCAAACCATACAGCATGCTACTGTTGTGACTGGCGGCTTGTAGAGAGGGGCCTTTGTGAGTTAAAGGTAAAGGTCGGTGGGCTGTGAGCTTTTAGTTATTTGAGTCCAGAAGTGTTGTGAAGAGGGATGCATCGATTAATTAGACTAAGTACATTTTACATTTTAGTCATTTAGCAGACGCCTTATCAGAGCGACCTTACAGTTAGTGAGTGGCATAACTATTTTATTTGATTTTTCATACTGGCCCCCCGTGGGAATCTGAAACCATAACCCTGGCGATTTTTGAAAACGCCAGTGCTCTACCAAACTGCGGCTACATCTCTGCTCAGCCATCCATACCCTACTGGACACTTGGGCGACCACTCCATGGGTCTCCCGGTCGCGGCCGGCTACAACAGAGCCTGATTAGAACCAGGATCTCTAGTGGCCACAGAGCCTGGATTTCGAACCAGGAATTCTAGTGGCACAGCCCACCTGCCACCACTAGGGAGGCCCAGTCAGTGGTGGTGTTGTATTGAGTGTTTCTACCGTGAGCTCCAGGTGTCGCTGAAGAGGCCATTCGTTTTTGCTGTGGAGGAAGGGCATTGGAGCTTCCTGTCTGGATATTCGTATCCGGCCAGAAGGGCTTTTGGAAGACAGAGAAAGAAGAAACCATGGCAAACCAAGATCAGTCCCCCCACCACCAACCAGGTTAAATCAAAAAAAAGGATAAATCCTAGCCGAGTTAGGAGCACACTTCAAACGTTTGGTGCAAAAACGATATCAATGGCATGCACACAAAAACACATATTAGATGGTAATGTTACCTTGTATGTCTGAGTCTTGTGTTTCGGTGGTAATAGACTTGCTGAATGCGCCTTGAACAATGCATTGCTTTGTTCAGTAGAATAAACAATGTGCAAGTCCAGTGCCTTAAAGCACCTACCATCTAAACCTAACCAACCAACCCTAACCAACCAACCCTAACAACCAAACCTAACCAACTGTTGTTTGGTCATTCTGCATACATATCTTCTCATCTACGGAGACACAGTATAAGGAGGATTGTGTTCCACCTCATTTGGGGGGCGAGGGTTGAACATAGCCTGTCTTCTCTTGAGAGCAAGGTCTGCAAGGCGGCCTTTTCTCAATAGCAAGGCTATGCTCATGAGTCTTGTAAAAGTCAAAGAGTCAAAGATGCCTTAAGGTTTGTGTGCAGTCACAGTGCGTCAGGTCATTCTAGTCTGCACTGTGTACTCTTGTTTAGGGCAAAGTAGCATTATAGTTGCTATGTTTTTTAATCAATTCTTTCCAATGTGTCAGTAACTATCTTTAGTTTCTCGTGATCTGGTGGGCTCTCTCTCTATCTCTCTCTTCTCTCTCTCTATTCTGCTCTCTCTCTGCTCTCTCTTCTCCAACCCTCATGTCAAGGACAGAGAAAGAGGGGACCAAAAAGAAGGAGAAACATAGAGAAAGTGAAAGAAAGGAACAAAAGAAGAAAAAGTGGAGCTCTGAGGGATTTGTCAATGTGGAGATCGAGTGATTGTCAATTGTGAGCTCTGAGTGATTTGTCAATGGGAGACTGAGTGGCATTTCTCAATGTGGAGCTCGAGTGATGTGTCAATGTGGGATCTGAGTGATTGTCAATGTGGAGCTCTGAGTGATTGGTCATGTGGAGATTCTGAGTGGTTTCTCAAGTGGAGGCACTGAGTATTTCTCAATGTGGAGCTCTGAGTGATTTGCAATGTGGAGCGATGAGTTGATTTGCCACTGTGGCGCTCTGAGCTGATTTCTCAATGTGAAGCTCTGAGTGATTCAA